TGCAGAGGCTGCTGGCAGCTTCGCAACCCAGCGCTCAACCGCTGCGCCACGGGGGAGGCCCCTCCCCTCTTCATTTCAAATAGATCTATTTTCTATTCATTCCTAGAAGCTAATGGCTACTACGATTCCTGTGTGTCCTCAAGGGCATGAAGGGAGGCCTTTAATCTATCTTCAGTATTTCCTGCAGATTTTGTACTTTTGTGTCAAGGTTGTACTTAACTAAAAAAATTTCTTTGCCTTCAAGTAAAACAATGATCCTCAAGGCATCTATATAGATCAGAGGCTCTGATTAGCCCTCTTTAGTGGAAAGGCATGGAAATGCAAATGATTTATTGAGTGATCAAAGAAAATTGTTCAGAAGCTTTCAAACTGTGGGGCTCACTTGAGGGGCTGACTTGACAAGAAAGCAGAGTTTCATGGCTACTTTGTCATCCAGAGGAGCTGAGACCGGGAGAACTTGGAGAACAGGAAAGGCTGAGACAAGGGATAGTGATTTTATTTTTTTTATTATTTTTTAAAAGATTTATTTATGCAAACAAGAGCTGGGGTACAGGCCAGAGATGTGGGGATTGAGAGGATCCACCAGAGACAGAGTGGGGAGCAGAACAGGCAGATTGACTGAAACACACTGCTGAGGGGAGCAGCGGGTGAGACAGAGAAGGTCTGCTGTGCCATATGGGTTTTTCCCTGGCCGGCCGGAGATCGAACTCATGCTGCAGAGGCTGCAGATTGCTTCATAGTGCGGTGCTTAACCCCATGCACCACCAGGGAGGCCCGGATAGTGATTTTAAACAATATAGGAAGAGAAAGAACAAAACAGCTCCCAGGAAAATAGAAGTGTTTTACTGAAATGTTGCTGAGCCAGCCCCATCTAGAGTAAGATCCGGTTACAGGATAATTAGGGAACAGAAAAACAACCACCAGGAAACTTCCTGACTATCTAGTTCCTAATCAATAGTCTGGCATATGGGGTAACAGAAATCTGACAGTATATAGTCAAAGACTGGGCTGGAGTAAAACAGGCGTTCTCCCTTGAACCCCCTCCTGCTGTCAGGAGATCTTTCCTCTTGCTTCAGTAAACCCACAGTTGCTTGCTCTCATGTTTGGTGTGTGGTTGTTATTCTTCAACTGGTGCACACACCCGGACCCACGAGCACCCCCTCCGAACATCATCATAGCCATGTCTGCTATTCCTTAGAGAATGCACAATCTCTCTTCCATTGTGAAGAGTGTCTTTTTGTGAGCTTGTTTTGGGGGGTGTCAAGATGCAGTGACTAAGAGGCCTAACTTTTTGTTCACATTTGCTGTGGATGTTCAGTGGTGGGTTCACTGAGTTCCTTCATTCTAGGCTCAGAGCAGATTATTAAAAAGGTCACCCTATTACAGCGCAAGGAGAGGGGCACCCTAGACCCCATAAACCTGCCTGCTCTAAATAGGTTCTGCCCCGCCGAATCATCACAAAACATATGAGACTTTAATGAAAAAGAACTTTAATACAATTAGGAAACAATATAGGAAAGGCAAAGAATCTGGTTTCTAAATCAAGCACCCAAAGTTACCCGTGCCCTCGTGGGTAAAAGTCCACCCAAGCAGGATTGGCTCAGCGCAAGACCCCAAAGCCTGCCACAGGTCTAAAGCATCTTCCAGTGGGGACCCACAGAAAAGGGTCAGAAATAACCAGACAAGTCTGGAAGGAAAAGAGCAAAATCAAGACAAAAACCACCATTGTCACCTCCCCATGGGTCTCTTACCAAATCTTTGTCACCCAGTCCATGATAAAAAGGCAGGTGCAGTTTCTTCACGTGTCTCTCTGCTGCACTGTGCCTCCTCCATGCTCTCCATCCTGCTTCCTTTCTTCCTCAGTCTCCTCTGCAGCTTCTATTCCTCCCTGCTCAGCTCCACCCTCCCTTGGGTGGGGCAGGAAAACTGGAACCTCCCCCTTTCCTGGGGACCACCCTGTTACAACCCTACTTTATTACTAATGGGACTATACGGTTATAGCTGGCAGTACACCAGAAGTTCAGGGGATCCTCTATGTATTAACTGATAGAGGACAAGAATAGAAAAAACTAAAAAAGGAGGCACCACAAGACCAGAAACCTGGCTCACACAAGCAGGTGGGACAGAAGAGATTAGCATAACCATGGGCAGAGTTGCTGAAATTACTATCCCGAGGTGCCAGATACCTAGATTAGAAAGCATAACATCCAAGCAGGTATCAGGCTGCTATCTAGAGCACAGGCCCAAAGGTAAAGATATGGAGATTGAGCCCAACAGACCCCAAAAGTAGAGATATGGAGATTGAGCCCATTGTAGAATCTCCTGGTCCCTTTCAGATTTTGCAAAGTTATCCAAAATTAGCAAGCAACTGATAGCTCACAAGGAGTGGCCCCTGCCAAACAGAAGAAGACTATATCAGTGCAGTCTCTGCACTGGCTCAGAGCAGCAATCCCAATGCCCACCTGTGACATGCAGGTGCCTCTTTTCACCAACTCTCCTCCCTCTGCAGGGCAGCAGCCTTCCTGCCTGCCCGTGACCTATCAAGGCTGCCCACCTGCAACTATGCAGGCCTCTCTTAGCAAACCCATCCCTTCTGGGGCAGTCCTTCCTGCCCGCTTGTGTCTATGAAAGTGTCTTTAACTGTTTTATCCCTTCTCTAATAAACCTGCCCTTTAAATATAACTAATGTTTCTGTCTCGTGGAGAAACTCGCCAGAGAAACTCGCTGCGTGTTGCCTCAGCGGGAGCTCTGGTGAAAACTTCCCCGGAGTGAACCCAAGGACCCCGCATTAACTCCAAAAACCACATGATTAACCAGGGGTCCTGGAATGGAGACTGTTACTCAGAAGCCGATAAATCAAGAGGATAAATGTCCTTATACCTGGGTGGAACCCAGCCACTGCTGCCCCCATGCCTTTGCAGAGATGGGAGAATGAGGACAACAGCTATGTAGTGTCATTTCCTTCCCTGTTCTTTCATAACACGCAATCATGATATTGGGGTTTGGTGTAAGGGGCTCTTGGCTTCCTCTGAGAAAGAATTCTTCAGTCTCCTTTCAGTGGCAAATAGCAAGTTGATTAAGAAAAGGGGAAGCTGAATAGACATAAGCAGGCAGCAGTCTTAAAGGGCAAGAGCTGCATTTTGCCAGAGCAAAGGGTATCCTTACCTATAGCTCTTAGATGCAATTATTCTGTGACATATCTCACTTTGGGGTCAGGCTGGATTGACTTTCTGTAATAACAGATAATCCTTTCTGACCCAACCTCTGGTTTTTGATATTGGGAAAACTTCCATCCTGAATATTCTACTCTAAGCTTCCATCAGTTAGAACCTTCTTCGTTAACGGATTTTAGCAAGCATCTTTGCTGTGGTTTAAACTAAATTCAGGGACTACAGCAATGAAGGCCAGGACCCTTGTCCTCACGAAGCTCCCGGTCAAATGGGAGATGAGATCTGCATCCTCCCAACTTCCAGGCAATCCATGGAGTCCTGTGGTCCTGGTTAAAGTGAGGTGATTGGGGAACCTGTTGGAGAGTAAACCATCTGGAAGGAAAGAGAGGGGTAGAAGGCATCACAGAGGCTGATAGCCGAATTGACCCACTGAAGGATGAGAGGGATGTAGCAGGTGCACAAGAAAGCATTGAAGAGTTAGAGACATGAACTTCTGACTACATCCCTTTGTTACAGGGCAGGGAGAGGGGCACCCCAGACCCCCCAAACCTGCCTGCTCTAAATAGGTTCTGCCATCTGCTGCATGAACACAAAACAAATGAGATTTTAGTGGGAAGGAACTTTAATACAATTAGTGACCAATATAGAAACGACAAAAACATAGTTTCTAAATCAAGCACCCAAGGTTACCTGTCCCTTCGTGGGTTAAAGTCCATCCAAATGGGATTGGCCCAGAGCAAGGCCCCAAAGCCTGCTACAAGTCTAAAGCACCTTCCGATGGGGACCCACAGAAAAGTATCAGAAATAACCAGACAAGTCTGGAGGGAAAAGAGCAAAATCAAAATCAAGACAAAAACCGCCATTGTCACCTCCCCACGGGTCTCTCACCCACATCTGTGTCACCCAGTCCATGACCAAAAGGCAAGTGCAGTTTCTTCACGCGTCTCTCTGCTCCATGTGCCGCCCCCAGGTCTCCTTCTGGCTCTCCATCCTGCTCCCTTCCTTCCTCAGTCTCCTCTGCAGCTTCTTCTCCCTGCTCAGGTCCACCCTCCCTTGGGTGGGGTAGAAAACCTGGAACCTCCCCCTTTCCTGGGGACCACCCTATTACACCTTGATCAGTCATTCCAAGTTTCTGCTTCCTTCCCCAACCCTGCAGATTTCTTACACGTGCCATCCACGGGTTTCAGCTGTCTTCCCTTGCCCTGTTTTCTATGGCAGTGATTCTCATCATCCCGTGTCCAGCCCAGCAATATCAGCCTCAGGGAGGACTCGGTCAGAAACCACGTCCTCTGGACTCCACACAGACTACTGAACAGGAAACTTGGAATTGGACCTGATCCAGACCCAAGGTTGACAGTCACTGTCCTAACACACTAAGAATCTTGGGGCAGAGGCTGCGCACGATCCCGGTGGCCACAGTCCGCTCTCTGGCCTGGCAAAGACTGGGGCACTTGCCTCAGGTTCTGGCCTGAGGCTCGGTTCCAAAGTCGTGTTTTGCAGGCTTCGGGGTGGCGTCTGTAAGGGGCTGCAAGGCTTGAAGGGCGCTCCACAGGTCCTGAAAGCACACTGCTTCCCTTCCCGGCTCCTCTCTCCGCCGAGGACAGCTGGGAGCAGCAGCCCAGCAGCCTCAGGGCTGGCTGCAGGGCAGAGCAAGCGTCCACAGTCATGCAAATGAGAAACGCAGCCTTCTTGGGTCTTTTGGCCCGAAGGCCAAGTTCAGGGCCCCTCCCACCCCAGCGGGGGAGGGTGTGTTTCTCCCGGGACTGCTCGGTCAGGTGACAGCGTGAGAGGGCTCAGCGGGGACGCGGAAGAACTGGGGCTCGGGCCGGCCTCGGAGCCGGGGACATGCAGCCCCGGGGGCCGCCTGGGCTCGCGCGCTCGGCGCTGCTGCTGCTGCTGCTGCTGCTGTGGCTGCTGCGGGCTCGGGGTGCAGCCCCCGGCGCCGCGCGCTTCGACCCCACCTGGGAGTCCCTGGATGCCCGCCAGCTGCCGGCTTGGTTCGATCAGGCCAAGTTCGGCATCTTCATCCACTGGGGCGTGTACTCCGTGCCCAGTTTCGGGAGCGAATGGTTCTGGTGAGCGCACCTCCCTCCGGCTCTGACCCTGCGTTAGCCCCGCGGGCCTCCAGCCGCCACCCAGCCCGTCGCCTGCGCGTCTTTGTTTTGCACCCTTGTCAGTTTCGCTCCTTCTGTTTTCACCGGGTTAGCCGTGCCTGGTGTTTAAACCTATCATTGGTTGTGTCACTGGTTCGTGCTGAATGAACCACCAAGTTTTCTTCCCTGTGATGGCTAAATTGTCAGGCACTGAATATGACTTCTTGGTAGTGGCACAAATAATAATCCCTGCAAAGATGAGGGACTGAAGTCGCAGAAAGTGAGCGACTTGTGCAGGGTCTTGATGAGCGGTGGTGCTGGGCCTAAATTGCTGTCTAAGGAGACTCAGAATCTGTCTCATCGCTGTTCTGCTGCTTCCTCCCAACTCAGAATCTGTCTCATCGCTGTTCTGCTGCTTCCTCCCAATTCTCAGTCGTGTCTGGAAGTCTGGTGAAAACATAAATTCATGGGTGTGTGAAGCGTCTGTTCGTTTGGGCATGCACTGGCTCTTTGATGTTGGAATATTACCATGGAGGGCTCTAGGAAATTTAAAACAAAAAAAAAAGGTTCTAGAGTATTTATCCCCTTCAAGCCTTAAGTATTTGTAGATTTGCGCTATGACAGGCATGGCCTAAAAAATTACTCTTTAGATTTTACTTCTGTTACCAGCCTAACTGGGTCATATCATTGGCATTCAGAAAGCAGACTCTGAACCACGAGCCTGCTCCTACAAAGGCGGTGTTTAGTAGCGAGTGGGGCCAGCTTGGAAGAACAGCAGAGTTGGTCAACAAAGAACTACGAACCAGAGACACACTGGGGGGCAGGAGGGAAAGGAGGGACTGGGGTCAAAATAAGGGGGTTGTAATTGTATGGAGAATATAAAAATAAAATTTAAAAAAAAAGTACAGCAGAGTTGGTTCTCAGAAAAGTCTGCCTCTCAGTTTGTCAGTGAAGGAAGATTATACAGGAAGGTATGCAATGTGGGACCATCTAGGAGTGTTTCTTCATCTGGGGTGCAGGGCAGTCTAGGGGTAGTTGATCACAAGGCAGTTGATAATACTTGTGGATGAGCTGCTCTCTTCTGTGTTAGCAACTAAAACTACACTTCCTTGTTCCTGGGGCACTGATGGTACCAGCATCCTGGGAAAGAATGGAATTATTTTATTAAATATTAGACAGATGGAATTATTTTGTTAAACATTAGACTAGAACCTGAGGAATATGGTACAGTGACTTCTAAGGCAAGGGGCGTATTCTAGGTGCAGGCCCCACTATACTTTGAGATCTATGTGAAATGTGCATCTAATCTGTGTTACACAAAGCTGATGAAAGTCTTCAGGTATTATCTTCTTCAACATAGACATGGTATCAAATACATGTACCTAAGTGTGTGTTTGCGTGCATATGTTGTAGAGCAACCCCGATACAAACACTTGTAAATATATACGTGCACATGCTTATAATGTTAAAAAAATTCACAAATTTAGAGATCTAATTGGCTTTATTAAATGATTCATGAACTGGGCAGTATTTATTTTTTGTTATTTTATTTTATTTGTTTTTTTAAAGATTTATTTGTTTATGCATACAAGAACTGGGGTACAGGCCAGAGGTGTGGGGGTGGTGAGAGGATTCACCAGAGACAGAGTGGGGAGCAGAACAGGCAGATTGACTGAAATAAACTGCTGAGGGGAGCAGTGGGTGAGTCAGGAGAGGTCTGCTGTGCCATGTGAGTAGCTCCCTGCCCGGGGATTGAACTCATGCTGCAGCGGCTGCGGATAGCTTTTTATAGGTTGGGTCTTAACACCTTGTGCCACCAGGGAAGTCATACTCCAATTCTTTATGGCAAAGTTGAACTAGTGTGGGAAGTGAGAAAGCGACTCTGGGTGATTTGTGTAAGGTGGCTTCAGCAAGGGGAGCTTACTAAACTTGTGTGCTATTTCTGTTCCTCCCCATAGGTGGTATTGGCAAAAGGAGAAGAATCCAAAGTTTGTGGACTTTATGAAAAGTAATTACCCCCCTGGATTCAAATATCAAGATTTTGGACCCCTATTTAGAGCAAAATTTTTTAATGCCAGCCAGTGGGCAGATATTTTTCAGGCTTCTGGTGCCAAATACATTGTCTTAACTTCCAAACATCATGAAGGTAAGTAAGTGCAACATTTGTCAACTCCGACTGTGGCTGTGGAATGTAAAATAGTTTGTTTGGAAAAGACATTATAGTGGGGAATCCACATGTAGTCGGATCTCTTTCTTAGGAGATCCAGAAGTGGCCACTGACATTTGCTAATAATTTATTTAGTAAATAATTTTTTATTTTTTTTAAATTTATTTATTTATTTATACAAGCACTGGGTACAGTCAGAAGTGCGGGAGGGTGAAAGAATTCACCAGAGCCAGAGCGGGGAACAAAACAGGCGGACCAACGAAATACACTTCTGAGGGGAGCAGCGGGTGGCAGGAGAGGTCTGCGCGCCATGTGGGACACTCGTTGGCAGCCAGGGATCGAACTGGCGCTGCAGAGGCTGCGCACAGCTGCGCAGCTGTGCAGCCCAGAGCTCAACTGCTGCGCCACCAGGAGAGGCCCATTGCTAATAATTTAAGGGACCACATGTTTCACCTAGTTGGGAGGCATGGATGTGAGGGCCATTTGTCTGTGACATCTGTCATCCCATTGATTTCCAGTGTTGATTGGGCTAATCTGGCTGACTAGGTGGCTGTCCTCTTCCTCCCTCTTGTTCCATGTGTGTCCCTCCCAAGGCTGTGCACTTGGTCAAAGAGGACAGACTTCCCTGAATAGATCATTCTTGCGTCAAATGTATAAGTAGTTGCACTCCCCTGCCAGAACCTTCAAACAGGTCAATTGAAAAGCATTTCTTATGATACATTAGAAAAAAAAGACAAACAATTGCATTTTGTTATATTAAATTTTAATAATATTTCTAAGATTTGACTACAGCTCTTGGCCGTGGGGTGTGGGTTGCAGGCCTGTGTTTGTAAAGGAATTACATTCTTTCATTTCACCTTTGCAATGCATCTAGGGAGGCACCATAGGGTGTTGTTATTGTAGTCTCAATGGCACACCTGGTTGCACTTTCTGCTAACTCTTACATGGCCAAGTGGTGGACAGTTTGCTTTGTGATGAAAATGACACAGAACACTTGGTGTGAAAAGGACTGTGAATTATCAGCGGTAATGGAAGAATATCTAAAAGGAAACATGGTGGTTATAATAGTGTTTTCCAGAAAAGCAAAACCCATAGAAAGTATAATATATATGAAGAGACTTATAAGAAATTGGCTCACTCAGTTACAAGCTGAGAAGTCTAGACCCAGGAGAGCCAAGGGCCAGGGAGACTGTGGAAACCAGGAGAGGTGATGATATCTGTCCTGGTCTAAATCTGAGTATAAAGGCAGAAGATATATGTCTCAGCTTGGAGATGGGGAGAGTAAAGCTTCTTACTCAGCCTTTTAGTCTGTTTAGGCCTTCAGTTGGGCTGGATGAGGCCCAATCATTGAGAAGAGCAATCTCCTTTACCCAAGTCTGCTTATTTATATGTTCATCTTATGCAGAAATACTCTCAAAGTCATGTCCAGAGTAACATTTAACCAACTATCTGGACATCCTGGATCCTAGTGAAGTTGACACATAAAACTAACCAACATAATGGCCCCCCATTAATAGGACAGATTCCAGCATCTGTAAAATTCAGTATCTAGAAGAACGAGGAAGCGTCACTAAATTATTTTTTTTTAAAGATTTATTTATTTATGCACACAAGAGCTGGGGTACAGGCCAGAGGTGCGGAGGGTGAGAGAGTTCACCAGAGACAGGGTGGGGAACAGAACAGGCAGACTAACTGAAATATACTGCTGAGGGGAGCAATGGGCGAGTCAGGAGAGGTCTGCCGTGCCATGTGGGTCTCCTCCCTGGCTGGGGATTGAATTTGTGCTTCAGAGGCTGCGGATAGTTTCATAGGTTGCGTCTTAACCCCTTGCACCACCAGGGAGGCCCCACCATCACTAAATTCTTATTGTTTCAACCACATGTTAATTCATTAGAAAGTTTCCTTTGCATGACCATCTCTGCCTTGGTAGAGACATTTTGCACCATTGTTTTCTCTAGGGGCAGGGAGGTAGGAAGGAGGGAAGAAACAAAACTAAAAATCTGGAATTATCTTAGAATCTCTTTTCTTCTGGCCACATTCTGGTAGTTTAACGATTTTTTCCCCCTAAAGATGTGCCTCCTGCTGAGATAGATATTTATAAATTGTATTTGCTCGTGAACATGTTGACATCCTGATGTCCAGAAACTTCTCCAAGCTGTTTGGCACAAAGAAATACATAGGGAACTTGTTTAAAAAAGAAAAGAAAGTCTTAGTCATACTGTGAGGACAGATGATATAACCCACATTTATCAATTTTGTAGGAATTATGTTGTCAGATGTTTTCATTGCTTTTGGAAAAGGCTCCGCGGAACTTGATTAGGCGGGAAGACCAGAGTGTGGGCCTTTGGTTTTGGTGGTTGGGACACACTGAGGGAAGAGTTGTGGAGCAGGTTTGCAAGACAGGACTCTGCTGCTCAGTGGAGCCCTCTTGCTATTGGTTAGCAGTAATGAACAAGCACAATTGATTGTGTGACAATGGCAGGAGGAGCAGGGGCCAGGGGCGACAAAGGGTAATTAACTTTTTGGGGAATAGGAGGGATCATGTTGGCCACATGTACAGGGAGGACTCCTGTGCAGGTACTTGCTGTAATCTCTGAGCTACTCCCAGACCACCTCAGACCATGGCCACACAATCTGTCAACAGCTTCCTACGTGTCCCTGGCTGCCTCGTGATGTGGGCCATTGTCTTAAGGCAGTCATGCAGGAGTGCCTTATCCAAATCTCACACACACACACACACACACACACACACACCCGTGTGCATAGAGAGGCCACATGTGGTGGTGCTAGTGTGCCCGAGACCTGTGTGGTTTTAGCGCTGCCTGACATTAGAGCCTGTCAAGACGAAACATTTTGAACAAGACTGTAAATATTGACACTGCTTTGAAGTTCACCACAGACATCTTTGAAACATGTGTGAGCTGTTTGAAGAGCCTCTAAAAAATGAATCTCAAGAGTGAGTCAATTTAGACTTGTCCTAATTTATAAGAATAAGTGGTTCACGAAAAGCAGTTTCTATGTGTCTGTTCTCAGATGCTTTGATCTTCAGTGGGATAGTAACAATGTACTGATGTTCCTGTGCACTGGCTAAGTATTAGGAGGTTTTTATATTATAATATAAATATTTGAGTTTATATTACCTCTTCTAATATTTTTACATAGCAGTCTAAATGCAAATTTCTCTTAAAATGGGAATTCTTTCTAAGTACTCGTGTGAAGATACACATTTTTTTCCAACCCATTTCATTGGTAGGTCATTCATTTCAAGGTGATTTAAAAGAGCATCATCCATACTTATGACTTGAGAGTAGGATGAGGTTATAAATGGTGGGTATATTTTATTTATTTATTTTTTTTATTAAGGTAACATTGGTTTGCATCCAGAAACATGGGATCCCACCTCATCAGGTCCATGCTACCACACCACACCCACCACCAAGGCACCCAAGCTCCCCCACCCCATCCACTGTGCCCTTCCCCCTTCATCTTCACGCTTCCCCTCCCCCTCAGCTAGTCTCAGTTTTGTGTTTTTTTTAAAGATTTATTTATTTATACAAGCACCGGGTACAGTCAGAAGCACGGGAGGGTGAGAGAATTCACCAGAGCCAGAACAGGGAGCAGAACAGGCAGAAGGACCGAAGTGCACTGCTGAGGGGAGCAGCGGGCGGCAGGAGAGGTTTGCGTGCCATGTGGGACCCTTGGCCGGGGATCGAACCAGCGCTGCAGAGGCTGCGGGCAGCTTTGCAACCCGGCACTCAACCGCTGCGCCACTGGGGAGGCCCACAGTTTTTTTTTTTTTTTTTAAATTTGTTTATTTATGCATACAAGAACTGGGGTACAGGCCAGAGGTGTGGATGGTGAGCGGATTTACCAGAGACAGAGTGGGGAGCAGAACAGGCAGACTGACTGAAGTACACTGCTGAGGGGAGCAGGAGCAGTGGGCGAGTCAGGAGAGGTCTGCTGCACCATGTGGGTTGCTCCCTGGCTGGCCAGGGATGGACCTCGTGCTGCAGTGGCTGCGGACAGCTTCATAGGTTGTGTCTTAACCCCTTGTACCACCAGGGAGGCCCTAGCCTCAGTTTTACATTCAGAATTCTAGTGTTTGTTTTTGGCTTGGTTTTGATTGACCTTGGTTTTTATTTTTATATTCTGCACATAACTATCTAGTATTTTTCTCCTTATGACTTATTCCACTTAGCATTATCCTCTCCAGTTTTACCCATGTTGTTGTAAATGGCAAGAGTTCATCTTTTTTTTGGTCATAGCTGAGTAGTATGCCACTGTTGAATATACCACATCTTCCTAATCCACTCATCTGTCATTGGCCACCCAGGTTGTTTCCATAACTTGACTATTACAAATATTGCTGCAATGAGTGTGCGAGGACTTATATTCCTTCCCATTAGTGATTTTGCATTCGTCTCCTAGATATCTAGGGTGGTAATTACTGCATTGTGTGGTAGTTCTATTTTTAATATTTTGATTAACCTCCACTGTGTTTTCCATAGGGGCTGTACCAGCCTGAGGTATGGAGAGTGTATTTTAAAGTACAAACTACTGGGGAATAGTGCCCCCCTGGTTAAATGAATAACAAGGCTAAAGAAGATTCACTACACATGGATCCCTAGTGTTCTACAAATCATACTATAAAAAGTAGATAACCCGGAAACTGGAGTATATACTTTAATCTTTGTTCAAAGGACAAATAAGAATCTCATAGGAGCGCATCACCGGGTCTTCAATATAAGCAGTAGTTGTCATAGTGGAGCATGGGAGACATGGATAGTGTTCCCAGGTTAACAGCCATTTGCTGACGGTGATGATGAGTCTGTGCTGGACCCCACGATAGCAGGGAACACTGCAGACGGGACACTGTTCCTCAAGGAGCACGTATTCTTTTTTTTTTTTTTTTTAAGATTTATTTATTTATGCACACAAGGGCTGGGGCACAGGCCAGAGATGCAGGGGGTGAGAGGATTCACCAGAGACAGAGTGGGGAACAGAACAGGCAGACTGACTGAAATACACTGCAGAGGGGAGCAGTGGGGGAGACAGGAGAGGTCTGCTGTGCCATGTGGGTAGCTCTCTGGTTGGCCGGGGATCGAACTCGTGCTGCAGAGGCTACGGATTGCCTCATAGTGCGGTACTTAACCCCTTGTGCCATCAGGGAGGCCCAAGGAGCAAAATATTCTAAGAAGGAAAATAGAGGTAATGGCTCTGACTATACTGACCTTAAGAGGTATCTAGAGAGTTACTTTTAAAGGTCTTGGTTCTGTCTAGTTTGAATTCTCTTTTGTTTCTCGTAAAAAAGAGAATATATACTATGGATAAACCTGTCCTAAAAGCTGTTTGCAGAAGCAGCTATTTCTATCTCTTGCATACTCTCTTGCTTCATGTTCCAGAGCTGGGAAGTTACTAAGATTGTGAGATTGATTTGCTTACAAAGGTTTTTACTGTACTGTTTCAGGCTTCACCTTGTGGGGCTCAGAGTACTCGTGGAATTGGAATGCTGTAGATGAGGGGCCGAAGAGGGACATCGTCCAGGAACTTGAAGTAGCCATTAGGAACAGGACGAACCTGCGTTTTGGACTCTACTATTCCCTTTTTGAATGGTTTCACCCGCTCTTCCTTGAGGATGAAGCCAGTTCATTCCATAAGCGACAATTTCCATTTTCTAAGATGCTGCCTGAGCTCTACGAGTTAGTGAACAAATATCAGCCTGAGGTCCTGTGGGCAGATGGTGATGGAGGGGCCCCTGATTCCTACTGGAACAGCACAGGCTTTCTGGCCTGGCTGTACAATGAAAGGTGTGTATGCAGTGTGATTGCTGTTATTGACCTTATACATGTATGATTTTTAAAAAAGATTTATTTATTTATGCATACAAGAGTTGGGGTGCAGGCCAGAGATGCAGGGGTGTGAGAGGATTCACCAGAGACAGAGTGGGGAACGGAACAGGCACTTCTACTGAAAATACACAGCCGAGGGGAGCAGCAGGCGAGACAGGAGAGGTCTGCTGTGCCGTGTGGGTAGCTCCCTGTTGGGTGCTTGAGCTCCTGCCACAGTGGCTGGAGATTTGATATATTAATTTTATGGGTTGTTCTTTTCATCTATGCTGGTCTTTTATGACCCCTATTCTGGGAACTTGGCTTATTCATTACTCTTTTTTTTTTTTTTAAGATTTTTTAATTTATTTATACAAGCAGTGGGTATAGTTAGAAGCGCGGGAGGGTGAGAGAATTCACCAGAGCCAGAGTGGGGAACAGAACAGGCAGATGGACCGAAATACACTGCTGAAGGGAGCAGCGGGCGGCAGGAGAGGTCTGTCGCGCCATGTGGGATCCTTGCTGGCAGCTGGGGATGGAACCAGCACTGCAGAGGCTGTGGGCAGCTTCGTAGCCCAGTGCTCAACCGCTGCACCACCAGGGGAGGCCCTATTCATTACTCTTTTTAATTATATACTTTATCATTCCTCTAATTCCTTCTTTTTATCCTCTTACCTTTTGATAATCATTGCTGCCTAGTCAATGTCACCCTTGTCTGTCTCTTTTCCTTGGCCATCAGCATGCTCACCTCTTCAAGTCCTTTCCTATTGCTTTCTAGCATGTCCCAGGCTGCACCATTAAAACAAGCGGTTTTGAAAATAAAAAAAAAAAGAACAAGGGGTTTTGACTGAGCTCCTGTAATAGGTTTAAACTCCAGGGACAAGTTTATATTTCTACTAGTGGTATGTGCTATGAAGTCAGAGGGCATTTTGCTTGCTTTCTCTGGGTCCACGAAGGCCGCACAAACTTATACTTAAAACAAGTTTCTCCAGGTTCTCCTTCCAAGAGGAAAACAGGTGGAGGACCCACTTCTGCTCGTGAATGCAAACTTTCTAAGTAGCAAAGTGGAGAGATGCACGCACTGGCATCTGCTATGATGAGTAATGTTGTGGGGATGTTTCTTTTCACAGCGAAGCCCATGATGGTAACAGTAAAATTTTCTGAGATTTCTCAATCTTCGGCACCACTGTAAGAGAAAGGCTAGAACACACGTATGAGGTTATTCAGTTTTAGGTGAGAAGGTTGGCTTGAGTGTAAGTTCAGTTTTGGCTCTCATTCAAAATATGGGAGGAGGGCCTCCCCGGTGGCGCAGCGGTTGAGCGCTGGGTCGCGAAGCTGCCCACAGCCTCTGCAGCGCCAGTTCGATCCCCGGCTGCTCCCCGGCCACCGGAGGAGGGTCCCACATGGTGCGCAGACCTCTCCTGCCGCCCGCTGCTCCCCTCAGCAGTGTACTTCGGTCCTTCTGCCTGTTCTGCTCCCCGCTCTGGCTCTGGTGAATTCTCTCACCCTCCCGCGCTTCTGACTGTACTCAGTGCTTGTATAAACAAACAAACAAATAAATAAACAAACAAATAAATAAATAAAAATACATGCCTCTTTAAAAAAATATGGGAGGAGGCTTCAAATAATAGTATAGTAACTCATGTAAGTGCTACGGGGGCTGGGCACAGGGCTAGGTGTTTTTACATTAATTATTTCTGTTCTAATAATAAGTAGAGAAATTGGTTGTTCAGGGGAGCTATCAACATGCTCTAGGACAGTTTACTTAGAAAGTACCAGAGCCAGGCTGCAATCATCTGAGGTGTATCTGACTTCAAGATCATGGGGTTTGCATTCATGTTTATCCTATGATTACATTTCAGAAGAGGATTTTCAGTAGACTTCTTTTCAGTGACATCTTTTTGTGTAAAAATAATTTTATGTTTGGTTTGAAAAAGTTACACTTTTCATTTCAGCCCTGTCCGGGACACGGTAGTCACTAATGACCGCTGGGCAGCAGGTAGCATCTGCAAGCATGGTGGCTACTATACCTGCAGTGATCGTTACAACCCAGGACATCTTTTGCCACACAAATGGGAAAACTGCATGACAATAGACAAGCTTTCCTGGGGCTACAGGAGGAATGCTGATATCCGTGACTATCTTACAATTGAAGAACTGGTGAAGGTACAGTAAAATGTCTGGTGACTATTGGTAAGATCCTTCATAGAGTGGGAATTATTCTTAGACTAGTGACCTATAGGGGCCTCCCTGGTGGCATAAAGGGTTAAGACACCGCACTATGAAGCTATCTGCAGCCACTGAAGCATGAGTTCCATCCCTGGCCAGGGAGGTGACCCACATAGCACAGCAGACCTCTCCTGTCTCACTCACTGCTCCCCTCAGCAGTGTATTTCAGTCAATCTGCCTGTTTTGTTCCCAACTCTGTCTCTGGTGAATCCTCTTAGCCCTCACACCTCTGGCCTGTACCCCAGTTCTTGTATGCATAAATAATAAATAAATCTTAAAAAAAAATTTAAAGACTAGTAACCCGTAAACACAGGATGTTATTCTATCCTTGTATTTTTGTTCTCCTAGTTAGTGACTACATAGGCATATATAGATATTTTAATATATTCTCCATGTAATTTATTTATTAAGAACTATATTTATTTCCTAACTTTTAGCAACTTGTAGAAACAGTTTCATGTGGAGGAAATCTTTTGATGAATATTGGGCCCACACAAGATGGCACCATTTCTGCAATTTTTGAGGAGCGATTAAGGCAAATGGGGACCTGGCTAAAAGTCAATGGAGAAGCCATTTATGGAACCCACCCATGGAGAGCCCAGAATGACACTTTCACCCCAGATGTGTGGTAAGTTATCTTTGTAAGTAAGTACTATTTGATAGAGAAAATCCTTTAAGATTTCTCAGAGATATAAAGAGAGAAGTAGGATAAAAATGGAAATTGGATGAATATCTACTTTATGCAGGGCATATTCCAAACCTTATTTAATGTTTTGAACACTTATTATTTATCACATTGAGCTTGAATCATCCCTAGATACCTCCTTATGGTGAATAAATTTTAGTGAAAAGTAGTCAGCTCTTACAAAAATTGCCATTCAGAAATATGCATAGAGGTTAATCCAAAAGAGAGGATAGGGCCTCTCTGGTGGCTCAGGGGTTAAAGACAGCTCTACCAAGCTACTGCCAGCCACTACAGCACAAGTTCAATTCCTGGCTGGCCAGGGAGCTACCCACATGGCACACAGGCCTCTCCTGACTTGCACGCTGCTCCCCTCAGCAGTATATTTCAGTCAGTCTGCCTGTTCTGTTCCCCACTCTGCCTCTGGTGAATCCTCTCACCCCCCCGCATGTCTGGCTTTCATCCAAGTTCTTGTATGCATAAATAAATAAATCTTTAAAAACAAAATAAAAGAGAGACTGTTTAGTTATTTAAATATATCACATCAAATTAATAAACAAGTGATGCCGAAGGTCAGAAAAATATTAGAAATCAATCAAAATAACAGCATCATTTTTTAAAATAAAATATTTATTTATGCATAACAATCTGGGGTACAGGTCAGAGATCTGAGGGATGAGAGGATTCACCAGAGACAGAGAGAGAAGAAGAACAGGCAGATTGACTGAAATACACTGCTGAGGGGAGCAGCAGGCGAGTCAGGAGAGGTCTGCTGCGCCATGTGGGTTTCTCCCTGGCCGGCCGGGGATCGAACTCGTGATGCAGAGGCTGCAAAGAGCTTCATAGTGCTAACAGCATCATTTTAATTGATTAAAAAGTTATAACTTGCTCATATTATTCTAAAAATCTAAACATGAAGTACTTGAAAATTATCTTGCTAATTTTTCTCTTAACTAGTATTTTCTTAAAAGCTCAGTCTCAGGCTCTGGCTAAGCTTGGTAAGGTTCGTTGTACTGTTACAGAGCAACCTCGATAAAAAAAGGGTTCCCTGACTGTGGGTCCTCACCAGTGCCCTTAAAGGGGACTTGTTAATGCTAAACTGCAAACATACACAAAAGATTGATAAAAGGTTTATTTACAAGGTAAGGCAAAATGCAGTAATGAATAACCCCGGGAGAAAAAAAGAGAATCCCAATGACCCATCGAGCTGGCGAAAAGCTGAGCACACTGCGTGGCCAAGAGGGCGATCCTGGCCACAGGGCCAGTTAAATACTCAAACCGAGAACCTAGTTGCTGAGCTGGGCCCTGAGGTCTTCGCAACCTTCCCTTTGGTGATCATGGGATTTGTAGTTCCCAGTGTCGTGTGGGTGGAGTCCACAAAGCCTGTATGGAGTTTGCACAGGACATCCTTTCCCCCAACAGGTAAATGAGGATCTGAATCGGAGTTGCAAATATGATGGTTTGTGAAGTGGGGTCTTAACATAAAGAAATGGGTAGTATTAGTCTAACTCTCAAAATTCACTTTGTGTTGCCACTAACGTGTTTAAAACCTGATCAAGCATAAATCAATAAGATTAGACTAAATGTTCTTTGAGCTCACTTGACTTATGATTTAAAAGAAATGGTCAACTCACTTAAGAAAATGAAGGCAATTGAGACAGAAGCAAATGTGGAATTCTAGAATGTTGCATTGGAGCAGTCACAATGAGAGCTCAGTACCAAGCCTTCCTTTTGCAGGGACAGGTGTAAATCTGGTTTTTGCATTTGCTCCTGTGCTTCTATTTGGAATGAGGGTGACTGATTTGTGACTTCATGGTCATTTACCATTATCCCATTGTTTTCTTTCAATAAAGATAAAAGCCAAGACATTTTAAAAAGGCCTCTAATGCTTGTGTCTGGCTCCACCCTCTTCATGGAACCCAGGTGGCCCTGCTCTCCATCCTCACCACAGATTCTGTGACACTTACAAGGTCCTATAAAAATCGACTCGCTGCTGTCTCTGTGATCTTGTCTGTTATCAAAATCACCCTCACATGCCTCTTTCAGCTCTACCCACGGTCAAGCATGGGGATGGCTGTTTGCTGTCCTCTGCCTGGAAGGCACTTTTTCCAGATACTCACATGGTTTTTCCTCCGTCTTCAGGTCTCCTCGATACCACTTCCTCAAAGGTCTTTCCTGGTTATTCTATTAAAAGAACACCCAGATCCCTCCTTGACAAGCTAGTGTGCTCTGTCTTTCTTATCTGACTTCAGTTTATCCCATAGCACTTCATAATCACCAGACATATTTATTTTCTGTTTCTAACTTTTCCCACTACCACATAAGCTCCACGAGTTCAAGAAATTTGTTCAGTGCTGCACCTTCAGTTCTAAAAACAGCAACTAGCATTTTAAGAATTCGATTAAGTATTTGTTGAATCATTGACTGAATAAATGAACAAATTCTGTTTTCTTTGTCTAGAGTTTATGCTTACACATTGCTTTGTTCTCACTTTGAGTCTCAGACGGAATGTTATTTCTTGGAGAGACTTCTTGCTGATGGTTTAATCTGAAGAGACACCTTGTTACAGTCAGCCAAGGCCCTTTTCTTTCGTTGTGCTTTTCAAAACTTACACTTTTATATTATTTGTGTATTTGATGTCTGCCTTCCTTACTCTAGTCTAAGCTCCATAAAAGAATTTTCTGTTATCTCTAACATGGGACACAGCATTAACATGTACACAGCTATTGAATGAAGATAAAGATTTGCGTCTGAGCTTGCATCTTACCTGCTGTGTTCATATTCCTCTATCTATATCCAACTCCTCAAGAACAGTAAGATGAAGAGCAGTACCATCCCAGAAAACTCTTTGTTCTAAGAACATCCAGAAATTGTGGGAGAAAGTGTTTTAAATGGGACTATTTTTCTTTCCTGTATTAATGGAGACTTGCTAAATGAAAATATCTCTATAAAATAATTTTATGCCTGAGCCATAAATGAGAAACATTACTATGCTTTCCCCCCTTTTAACCAGGTACACATCCAAGCCCAAAGAAAAACTGGTCTATGCCATGTTTTTTAAGTGGCCCATATCAGGACAGCTGCTTCTTGGACAACCCGAAGCCATTCTGGGGGCAACAGAGGTAAGAGGGAATTTTATCTTTCTTCTTTTAAACTGTTGATAAGACAATCCTGATGAACTCATAATTTTTAACTGTAAGGAGAGCTTTACATGTGCTCCTGTTATACTGCACAAGAATAACTTTGACCAATGTTTGGCCAAAATTTTTGGAAACTTTGTTTCCCAGAAAAGTAACCTTATAAAATAGTTACATAACCCCCACACATAGCAATGTAAAATAGATATTTTTCTTCAACAGTTGTTCACAGTTGTTCAGGTTCACTGCATGCATCCAAAATTGGAATTCAGGTTCTTCTCCTGACATCTGAATAAAAATAAGATGCCATGGTTCAAATTTTTAAGAGCCTTTTATAAATTCATAACAATTTTTGGAGAAAGTGAAAGATTAATCCAGAAGCTGTAACCACCAGGTCTGGCATTGAGTTCTTTTTGGTATATGTTATAGCTTTTTAAAAAAAGACATTTATAACTCACTGCCCTGGATATGACAAATCATTTAATTTATCTATACTTCTTTGGCCTCCATTAATACTGTTATTTTAAAAAGGATCACTTTTGTTCTTGTATTGCGCTACCTAAGCAAAACTTTGATTCAAAATAACCCTAGACATATACAAAACTATTTAAATTTATTTACTATAAAATTAGGATATAAACAATTACAGTAATAATTAATCACATGTATTCACGTTAGTGAAAGGTACTGGGAAGTCTGAGGAGGAAGAGTGGCTGAATATGAGAGGCAGCCTTTCTCCAAACATTCTGTTTAAGAGCTGGGCAGCAGATTAATCCCTTTCCCTGAATCCTCTCTGTGGCATTTTCCTCCTTCTGCCTCTAATCAGCCTTTACAATCCTTCTCCCCAACTCCAGCACACTTTTATATCCCATAGAAGAGTTATATAGAAGCAAGACAGATATATGGACTCATTTGGAACAAGAATTAAAACACCTTGTGAACCACTCAATAAAAATGAAAAATAAAAGCTCCTGTCTACGGCACTTTTTAAGAAATGTTACCTACTTCTTCTCAATAAAGTGGGGAAGTCAGAAGTATATTTGGAGACATTTGTGTGTTTTCTTTTAATTGCAGGTAAAACTACTGGGACATGGACAGTCACTTAACTGGACTTCCTTGGAGAAAAATGGCATTATGGTGGACCTGCCACAGCTAACTATTCATCAGATGCCCTGTCAGTGGGCCTGGGCTCTAAGATTGACTAATGTGATCTAATTTGCATCAGTGGTTTGTGTTGCAGTTACAGCTTAGACTGTAAATTACCAGGTTTCCATATAACTGTAGCACATAGAGAAAGCAAATATAAAGTTGCCAAAATGACCAAGTCATTATTTTATTAGGTAACTCAGCCCTTTCACCTCTCCTCTTACTCCCTACGTTTTCCTCTAAATTAACACATAGCTGTTTTATCTCTCCATTGCACTTTGCCATGTGAGGTCCCTTTGTATTGAATTCATTTCCATGTGTGATTGAGAGGTGGAAATTATTGCTTTGATGTAGCTAAGAATTGGTGGTTTGAAGGACTAAACTGTGCCTCTTGCAAAATTCCTATGTTGAAGCCAATATGATTGTATTTGGATACAGAGACTTTAAAGCAGTAATGGAGGTTAAATGAAGTTAAAAGGGTGGGTTCCCAATCCAATATGACTGGTAGACTTATGAGAAGAGGAAGAGACATCCAAGATGCAAGCACACAGGAAAGACCATGTCAGGACACAGTGAGACGTGTGCCACCTGCAAGCCATGAAAAGGCCTCAAGAGAAACTGAATCTGCCACACCCTGACCCCGGGCTGTCAGCCTCCAGAACTATGAGAAACTACTGTTATTTAAGTCACTTAGCCTCTGGTGCTTTCTTATGGCAACCCTAGTAGACTAACACAGGTGGTATAGATACAATAAATTGGGCTTAACATATATTTACAATGCTTACTTTTTTTTTGGTAAAAAAATCTTTCCTTTTGGTAATAAAACTGATAAATGTTCAGTGTAGATGTTTAAAATTATACAGAAATGCTCAAAATAAAATCACTGTTCAGATTCCTATTACTGTTTTAGTACATATTATTCATATTTTTTTGGGGGGGGTGTTTAGGCGTAGGGCCTATTTTTGTAGATGGGCTAATTAGATCTGTTTACTATATTTGCCTTTAAACAAACTGAAGTTGAAAAACTAGTTAAAAATTAGGAAGTCTAGTCAGATCTGCTCTTAAAATGAAGAAAATACTGATGTAAAAGTACTGATTTTCATATAAATTTAAGGAAACACTGATTTAAGAAGTCATCCTCCTCAACAAAAGATGTTTAATAAGGTCAGATTTTTATTTGAAGTACTACAGGTTTGATGTTGTTACAGTAATTAAATGCAAAAATCTTACTTTTTTCAAAAACATTTTGAAGAGTGAAATAAAACACAACTCATTTTATTTCCTAAAATCATGCTAAAGTTGAAAATCTTTTTAAAAAATTACTCATGGTTGAAGTTCATGACTGTCATGATTTGAAACCATGCTGATATATTTACATTGATAAATACATCAGTATATTTATTACATGTTTAATAGCATTGAATCCCAATTGACATCTTATTAGAATTCCAAATGTGAACAGATGTGCATGATTCTAAAAACTAAATGAAAAAAAAGTGGGAAAAATCCTCAAACAATACCAAATAAATATTATTAGAGGAAATAATATAAAAAGTAGGGTCATCTATTTGAAGAAAATAATTTTAAGACTAAAACTTGTCAGCCACTTAGATTCCTATTCTGTCCACCTATACTTTGACAATTGAGAATAAAGGAAGAAAAGCAAATATTTCAGCCAATTATAGCTAGATATAGGGTTTATTTAATGAGTAGCTATTGAGGGAGCCAAGTGATAAAATAGAGCTCAACAATTGAAGGTGCTGATAAAACGCTTTGCTAGTAACCAGAAACTGTATGTGAAAAATATGAGACACCTAATTTAAAGTTATATTAAGGCTTATCTTTCATACATGTGAAAAGTACCACAACTGGGTCTCCTAACAAAGATTTAAAAATAGGGGCCTCCCCAGTGGCCTATGGGTTAAATCTCAGTGCTATCACCACAATGGCCTGAGTTCAATCCCTGGCCAGGGAGCTAACACACATGGCGCAGCAGACCTCTCCTGTCTTGCCCACTGCTCCCCTTTGCAGTGTATTTCAGTAGATGCACTTGTTCTGCTCCCCACTCTGTCTCTGGTGAATCCTCTCATCCCCTAGGATTCTGGCCTATACCCCAGTTCTATGCATAAATAAAATCTTTAAAATATATAAAAATATACAAAGTTCCTAGAGTTATCATTGGTGTGGAAAACAAGAATTATGGTAAGGCTAGTGAAAAATCAGGTCTCTCATTACCTATTTTAAGCCAATTGTTTTTTATCTCCAATGAATTAACCCTTTTCCCAGAGCTACTAATAGGTAAAAATTGCCTTATTAGAATTTCAGTAACTTGATTTTTCTTTGTGTGACTAATGTTGAAGGTAAACCAAATTAAGTCACTAGATTGAATATCTAGACATTACTAAAATTAAAATTACTAAAGAGGATGAGAGGATTCACCAGAGACAGAATGGGGAGCAGAACAGGTGGATTTACTGAAATACACTGCAAAGGGGAGCAGTGGGCGAGGCAGGAGAGGTCTGCTGTGCCATATGGGTCAGCATCCTGCCCTGGGATCAAACTCAGGCCGTAGCGGTGACAGTGCTGAGACTTAACCCCTAGGCGTCTAGGGTGGTCTCTATCTCATTTTCTTTTGAGTGCCACATTGAAGCAATGCAATTGCCCTAGTCAGGTATTCAAATAAATATGAAGTGGGAAAACAATAAATAAGACAGTTATTTTGTCTTCTCTTAATTTTGATTATGTAAGTAGATCTATCTAGGTAAAAATCCTCCCACCTAATATCCAAACAATTACATACTCATCAAATTTTTATATAAACACACTTAACATATTTATACAGGTTTGAAGGAGAAAAAAGTAGAATTTGTGCTAAGTAATCTCCATTTAAACAACTCACTAGTTTAACTGATGCTATTTTCTTAAAAGAACCAAGTGATCGATGCCAAGGGCAAGCTGTCCTTACTATAGTTCTCAGTTAGGACTGTGTCTGGCACACCCAGCTTCCATTTGCTGCAATATGTTTCCCAAGGGTGAACTGAATTTGTTACTGTAGTGGATTGAATATTCTCCAATTTATGTCCACCAGAAGCTCAGATGGCAATCTTACTTAGAAGTAGTGTCTTTGCAGATGTAGTTAAGTGTTGAAATAAGACTATATTGGACATGAGTAGAAGAGAAAAAAATATAGACACACAGGAGAGGCCGTGTGAAGATAGGCACAGATTGGAATGATGCTGCTACAAACCAAGGAACACTAGACTGAGAAGCTGGATGAGTCAAAGAAGGATTCAAAGGCTTTTTCTCCTGGAGTTATCACAGGGAGCAGGGCCCTGTTGACAACTTGAGCTCTGAATGATAAATTATTTCTGTTGCTAACCAACCAGTTAGTGGTAATTAGTCATGGCAGCTCTAGGAAATGAATACTTACTAAACAAATGGATCATGACAGTTGAACTTTTTAATCATGATTATATAAAACTTGGTAACACGAGTGTGAAGAGTTGTAGTTTCTGTGAAAGTCGAGTACTTAGGAAAGATTTTTCTTTAAGAGGTATTGGTTAATTGTGGGCAAAACAGTTCTTGTAGGTTGGGGACAATACAGTAAAAATGTGCAAGAATTTTGTAGGCCTGGCTCACAACTATATCATGTAATACATGTGATTTGTACAAGATAGGTTATTAGAGAATGTTTAGAAATGGACCTGTAGAGAAAATATGGGAAAGGCCTGGTTCCTACATTAAATAATTCATGAAGAATATATCAAATTTTTAAAAGCCAAAATATTGAAGAACGTATGTGCTATGTATTATGTGACATCTCTTTATTGGCTTAGTCTGTATCTGGTCCAGCAGCAGCCCCCAGCCATGTGTTATTTTTATTATTTCCTGCTATCAGTGCCTTTTTTGGATTAATCAAACAACTAAGGGTACCAGACAAGAGGGTTCTTCCTGCACTATTGAAAGGCACATTTGCATATCTAAGTACAGTTAGCTTCAAATACATGTAGTTTTTACCTTGTCATCTCTTCAATTGCCACAACTTCTCCAGATGTAGATGATTTCAAGTAATAATTTTCAGTTGATCAGCTTTATATCCTTACATATCCATGCCTGTTCACCTCGAATTTTCCCTGGATGAAATCCTGGGTTAACATTGCTGAAAGAGATGCATGCCCTATTACACACACACACATTTGCTAATTTTTCAAAATGCAGTTTTTCTGTCACCCTATTAGAAATAACATCATTATATTCCATTAGACTTTAGGAAGAAGCATTTGCCCCTTCTACCTTTACATTTGTTTTGTTAGTTTTTAAGAGACATTCTAGATACAGACCCCCTAAGCAGTTGCTTTGAGACTCGCCTAAACTTAGAAGAGATCTTACAGCTCATTTTCTACCTTCTATTATTTAGCTATAAGTTATGTTGGAGGAACATAAAATGATGTCACTGAAAACATTTTGATTCTGATGATACATATTGATTCAATTATTTCTGCCCGAAATATCCTTATAAATACAGAACTATAGGGGACAATGCAATTTTTCTTTTTTAGATGAAAACGCCATTTATTTTTTCTGAACAAACGTTCAGAGAAAGCATCAATTATGAGTTAAATAAAATGAAAATTAGCATATCCTCTCCAAATAACAGCAAAAATGCTATGGGACAAATAAATTAATGGCTGTAATATATTAACTCAACAAAACCACATTTTACCAAAATATTTTATTGCAATAAGGTATTCAGTGTGCTCAAAATCAATACAAACGAAGTTATTAAAATTATTTACAAACAAATGAAAGTATGTAATTAATAACAGTAAGTATAAGTAAACAGCATCAACACAATTTTACCTCGAAATCAAACTGTAATTTTCTAAAGCTTGTTAACAACAGTAGATAAAAATTGCTGATCATGATTGTTAAGTTGTTAAATTCACGTTTCCATAAAAAAGAAAATTCCTTCATCAAGCTATATTTGAAATAAATAATTTATTCTTATAAAGAGTAATTGGAGAAAGTCTGATTCATTCCCATATATTGCAGTCCAGTGAACTTTAGGATTAAATAGCATATTTTCCAAACTTCTCACCTAACCCCAAGATTTTTCACTCAGTATTAATATGAAAGTATACTGCATTTCATATTGTATTAAAAAAAATCTACATTAGTTTCTAGATAACTTGGAACTACTATTCATGGTGTGACACATTATTAATAGTTCAGTATTTGCACTGTGTAAACACAAATATACCCACAAACCTAGTTTGTGGATGACTTAAAAAATATATTAAGATGTAAATTAAATCTTTTATTATGAAATGAAGACTTTGATTAAGAATATATTTTTTATTAGGCATTTTGGTAACAAATCATTACCCTATATATAGTTGGTTTATTCAGTGTATTTTTTTAAGTAAATAAATTCCACTGTGGCTTTTCTCGAAGAAAAAAATCACTTCTCTAGTTGTTGGGGAGTACTAAAAGCCTCGTACACATTAGCAGCAAAGTCTTTCACCTGTTCCATCATCAGCAGATCCTAGCAAAAATGACAACAAAACATTATAATTTGTAAAAAGTATAATTTAAATCCATTTCTGTAATCAACCAGTGAATTTACTTCTACAATTTTTGAGAACAAGTCTTAAAAAGAAAACCAATTAATGCGAGGAATACCGTTTCTTACAATAAATTCCAGGAGATAGTGGCTAAGTTCTTATATGAAGGATGGTGTTCTCTCTTAAGTATCAGAAAATTCAAGTGAGCACGAGGCTTGTCTTGATTTCAACAAATTTATGGTTAAATTCTCTTAAGACCACTAGATATTTTACCTCACAGACACACACTCTTATTTACTCTAGTGGTGCACTCTATCACACACTATACGTGGTTTCAGGTTTTCCATTTCTCTGAATAAGTATCACCGGAGAGAAATGTAGTTTTATACTAGACACACAGCACATCCCAAAATACAAACTTTTTAATAATGCCCCCAAACTTTCTTCTTACCTGAACAAAATGACTAGGTGTTTCACTGCAAACTGAATGGATCTGTCCATTTACTATGGGGATTATCTTAGCTAAAGGCAGGCTCACACTGGAAAGACTGAAAAATTATCATAGTAATAATTATTTTCTGAAATTATCTTACAGGAATTTAACATTTTAATTATAAAGGTAACAGTCACTGAAAAATACTGATCGAATGAAAAAATAAAAACCATACATAGTTCTACCACCTAAAAATAAAAACTATAAATATATGATAATTTCTTCCAGTAATTTTTATACACATCTATGTTTTTGTGTATTTTTTAACATAAAACCATCGCATCTGAGACAACAATGCTCTGCATTTTTATTCATATATGCATTTCCCCATCTCATTAAAAGTTCTTCCAAAGGTTTTGCTTTTTTAAATTTTTAAAAAAATTTTTAATGAAGTGCCATTATTTATATTCTTGTTAAATTTTTCACAACATAGGATTTCACTACTCAGGTGTTAATGAGTACATAGTAATCCATCATCTGGCAACCAGCTTCTTAGAATTGTGAATTTAAGTTTATGTCTAATTCTCTTCAAAGCATTGTGTAAACATGGAATTGCTGCATCAAAGGGCATGGATGTTTTTGCCAAATGCATACTGCTTCTCCAGCAGTGGGGAGAATACCTGCTCCATCATGTTTTCTTTCTGTATCAAGCTTTATCTGTATGTCTGATAGCTGAAACTGGGATCTCACAGTTTTAATCTGTATTTCTCTAAATTAGTAGCAATGTTAAATGTTTTTTCCCTACTCAGTGAACTGTACCACTATCTATTTGGCAGTGTGAGCCAAAATCCTGGGCATCATCATTGGTACTTCCTTCTCCTACCTATACTATAATCCTCCACAATCCCAAGTATTTCTTCTATGGGTCTAGGTAAACAATATCTCCTGTGTGGTGTACAGCAATAACCTTCAAACCAGTAAGTGCTCCATAAGCATTTGCTGAAATAATAAATAGTATGTGTGATTAAGTATGATGTAATGATTATTAAATGATGAAACTAATTTTTGTGAGTAGGACATAGATTTAGGTTTATTGCATTAAATATTATGTTTCACAATATATAATTACTTAATATATCATACACATAATTTTCTTGTAAACATCATGAAAACATTGAGACTATGGTGGGTGTCTAATGAGTGTGCTTTGCTGTGCTTTGAGGCAAATGAAAAACAATGCCTTTACAAAATTGGTGAGGAAGTCAGGCACTATTTTCTATCACGACATCTTTGTAGCATGTTTTCAAAATCTGACATGATTTTGTTTACTTGTTTGATGTCTCTTTTTGTATTAAGAGTTTAAAAAAAAATTGAAGACACACTATCATAAAAGTCTGGGACATCAGGTGCATATCTATCTTAGTGTATTATCCCAGCACTTTAGTAAGAGCGGAGCACAGTGCATGCTCAATATATGAATCAATTAATAATTAAGTCTTCATCCATTGCTATGTCCCCAACTTTCACTGTCCTAATTACTTCTCCACAAAGCAATCAAAGCGACCCTACAATGTATATCCCACCATGCCACTCTCCTAGCATTCTCAAGCTGATATCCATCTTCTTATCTGCTGCATCCTCCAATTTCACCTCACACCTTTTTTTTCCCTAGTTCTACCCATTCAGCTACCACATCGATCTTCTTCCAGGTCCTCAAGTGTATCTTAGCTTTCCTGTCTTCAAAGTTTTCACCATGGGACTTCTGCCTTGAATGTCAACTGCTTCATTCTAGTCCAAGGCTATATTTAATTGTGGCTCATCTTTTAGTTCTCAAATTGTTTTCTCAGGGAAACTGCTTAATGTTTCCTACATTTGTAAAAATACTTCTCTATAAATTTCAGTGTTCTTTCCCATTTTACATAGTTTTTACAATTATGCTTATTGTCTACATCTCTTCCTAGATTATTAGAGCCACAAGGACAGAGGCCTGTAAAGTGCCTGATACATAGCAGGTGCCAATAAGTAGATGTGACTTGAATGGACAAACTAGTGATTTCTGTCTGTTCTTCTGTGAATTATCTGTATGTGTTATGACTATTTCTTTCTTCAGGTGTTTGCTTTACTGACGTGTATAATGCTCTCTGTATATAAATGTATATAAATCTCTCTGCATGCCATTTTAGTTTGCAAACATTTCCCCAAATATAACATTTGCATTTAATATTGATTATATAAGAGCTAATAACGCTAGTCTATGAGTTTTAAATTTTACAGCCAAACTTATTATTTTTCTTTATATAAAGTTCTTTACCTTTATTTTTAGATTTTCTTCATTAGATTACATAAATACTTACATTGTTTTCTATCAGTTCATTTATGTTTTTATTGCTGAAACCTCCTGGATATATAATATATATGTATATATGGTATACATATGTATATACAGTCTATACATATAGTTATGTGGTATATATATGGATATATGGTACATATATAATATATATGTATATATGGCAAGGCTCTAAATTTATTATTATTGTTTTGCAATTAGTCATTACAAAATGACTAATTATGTCTTATCATCATTTACTAATTTATCTCTCCATCATCTTCTTTATAAGCTAATAGCCTATATATTTTGAGAAACTTTCTGGGTTTTATATCCTAGTCTATTGGGGAGTAATGTATTATCCTAGTTAGCTGCATCTTATATGTTCTATAGGGAAAGCACATTCATTGCTACTTTTTCAATAATTTCTTGAATATTCTCAGCCCTCTACTCCTTCAGATCACTTTTACTATCAATTTTTCATGATCAAAAATAAAGCAACCACTTTGACTACATTTATAGATTAGTATCTTTACAATTTTCAGTTGATTCTCTTAAGTTTTTAAGCACAAAATCATGTTATCTCACATAGTATTAACTTTTTCTCTTTCCTGAACTGATGCTAATTTCTGAAGATAAGAATTTAACTTAAAAAAATCACTGTCAACTAATAGCTCATGGGAATAATAAAGATGTTAAATAAGTTGTCTATTTGCAAGATATATAAAAATAAATGGTTTTCCTAAATTTGGTTCTCAAAATTAATCTTTACTAACCTCTGCATTGGTTACCATAATAGAATGAATAATGCTGAATAATTATGTCAATAGTGACCATCTTTATGTCATTGATTTTTATGTCATTGATTTTAATGGAAATCACCTAGTGTTTACCATTAAATGTATTTTCTTTTAGTTTCTTATAATCTATTATTGTATAAAAAAGTATTTTTTATTTCTTGAAGACAGTTATCCATAAGAAATGCTAAATTTGCTAGCAGTTTGACCTCAAGTTATTTACTTTTTCTCTTAGAAAATACTAGTGTTTCCTAGAGCTATTTTAAAAATTCATTGAGACAACATTATAAGAAATAGTTATCATACTGCACATGGAATAAGGAAGTCTTGGTTGCATTATTGTTGCTATAAATTTCTGGATTTCATTTGCTTATATTTTACTTAGGAATGTTACATGTGTAGTCACACTTTAAGTCTGTATAGTTTTCCTTCTAAGTCCCAGCTTTATCCATTATATTTTCTGTTGGGTTATTACTGGTGATAGGAAAGTTTTTGATTATAAAATATATATTATACATATATCAATACATATACATTTATATGCATGTTATATATAGTAGACACATGAATATACACACTTACAAATGCACTTACATAATTGGAGCTTTTAATAGTTTGCGTTACTTTTCAGTTGATTTTCTAGAGGGTTCTAGATTAACTGCAATACACATAATTAGTGATATTTTGTCTCTTTGCCAATGTTAAAAGTCTTTTTTCTTGACTTATTGTTTTTTTTTTTTATAGAGGCATGTTTTATTTATTTATTTGTTTGTTTATTTGTTTATACAAGCACTGGGTACAGTCAGAAGCGCAAGAGGGTGAGAGAATTCACCAGAGCCAGAGCGGGGAGCAGAGCAGGCAGAAGGACCGAAGCACACTGCTGAGGGGAGCAGCGGGCGGCAGGAGAGGTCTGCGCGCCATGTGGGACCCTCCTCCGGTGGCCGGGGAGCAGCCGGGGATTGAACCGGTGCTGCAGAGGCCGCGGGCAGCTTCGCAACCCAGCGCTCAACCGCTGCGCCACCGGGGAGGCCCTTTTCTTGACTTATTGTGATGACAGTGCTTCCGTGATGTGGTCAACAACAGGAAAGACAACAGGTATGATAGAAATATTCCTAGTATTGGATCAGGTAGTATGAAGTTGGTTATTGACATGAAAAGATAGGAAATATCACTAAATGCCAAGACTGTGTAATGAAGTTTGAATGGACACAAGAGAATCTCTGATTTTGAGAGGAGTAATGTAAATGTAAAGCAAATAAAGAATAACTGAGGAGTAAGTCTCCACTTCAAGGTGGCACATGTGGCTCACACATGAAAGTACAGATAATGAGTACTAGAGGAGCTCAGAAAAGGAAAACTTACAGTAGGGTTGATATGTCCGCAAAGTAATTTTTATTTTTATAATTTTACTGTGTGTAAGATCAAATATTTGTTCATGTTTAAAACATGATGACACAATTATTATAACTTGTTATTACTATTCAGGAAGTAACTAATACCTTGCTAGATAAAAATTATGTTGAAATTTTATTATTTGGACAACCTTGATTTAGGGAGTATAAAAGGGGGTGAAATTTATTTTGGTATAATTTGAAGAATTGACAAAAAAGATCTTAGGATATTTAAAATGTTTCAGAAAATAAACTTTATGGCTTTTAGCATCCCACATACTCAAAGTTTGTTGCAAATTACTCTTTTTTATAAAATAAAGAAAGGTCCCAGAAAATTGGGGAAATAATCTCTTGCCCTATGTATTAAAGAATTAAATTGGATATTACACATACATACTGCATATCAATTACTGTTTCTACTAATTTTAATGGATGAGTTTATAGTCAATTAACACTGATTTAGTATCTTATTTTCAGAGTTTAATGTAAAAAACCTACAAAACTGAGATCCTTAAAGAGTGTAAATTCTAGTATGAGATCAAAAGTGCTGATGTTGACATGATAAGGATATATATAATAAAACCATAAGATATGTTTTGACAGCATGAATCCATGACTTACGATCATGGATTTTGATCAAACAGTTAAGATCAAAATTACTAACAACTACACTAAATAAATAATCCCAATCCTATAATAAAAGGTGAAAATGAACACATTTATATAGTTGTAGAACTACGAGATGATTTATAATGGGAATCTTCAACAAAAGTGCCTTATTGTTACAATTACCAAAGTATTGTATTATGTAGGCCACTTATGGCTTACAGTACATAATTAATAAGAAAACACATTAAAACAAATACATTGTCAGTTTTTTGTTTCTAAAAAGTTAAAAAACTAATAGCTGCAATTTGGCCTACAGATAGGTATTTTCACAATGTAAGTACTTTAAATAGTGGCAAAATTTTTGGAAGAAATATGAGCTTTAATATTAAATACAGAAGGAGCTTCTACTAATGATGGGATGACTGGATTAACAGTTTAATTTGTTGAAAAATAAGCATTCAAATTTTATTCACTAAGATTTACCTGGAACAAAAAATAAACACACCTAAAACACTATTTTTTTTTTAAACACTCATTAGATGGGTGACATTTTTATTATGTCATCTTACCTGTTCATGGAGTCACCATGTTGCAGGTCCTGTTCAGTAGGTCGAAAGAACTCAGCCATATTGTCTAGTAGTCTACTAAACCTCGGTTTAAACAGGTATTCAAAACTGTACTAAAATCTGGACTACACAAAACAAGAAATATGTTACTTTATAGATTCTCAATGAAAAAGGAATTAAATTCAGTAACTATGTGGTTACCTTTGATATATATTCCTAGTCACAATCTAGTTTTCAGTCTAAAACACAGTAAGTATATCGAGTCAATCCTTAATAATTAAACATAAAAAGTTAGCTTATTTTATTTAGCACAACAAAATGAAGATATTTCTTTTGCTAGATTTTCTTACATTAGTATGCTATACAATATTTCTTAAAGTATCAACATTACTTTTCTTGAAGAAAATTCTATAGTCATAGATTATGGTTTGTTTTGTATGCCTATTATGACATTCCAGTGAGATAGAAAATTTTATTATCACATACAGATGAGGAACTGGATACTTGAGGGACGAAGAAATTTGTCCAAAGATATGTAGTTAAATAAGCAGGCAGTTAAAATTTGAAACCAGGTCTTTTTGAACTTAACTTTCAAGCTCTTTTCACTGTACTATATTAGTATTTCATAAAAACATTTTTGATACAAAGAATAATGTATTGTGCTGTGAAAGAAATATGCCTCATTAAACAAAAAATTAGTTTTATCATCACACATAGAAATTCTCAATCCAGATCAACTCATGGGAGTGAAGAGCTAGGTCTATACATTTGAGACTTACTAGTAATTAAAACAATGGATGTGTTTAAAATTGCATGGAGCAATTGAGGATGAAATAAGAACAAATATCTGGAAAATACTAATGTTTAAAGGAAAGACAGAGATAGAGAAACTTAAGAAGAAATGATCTGAGAATTGTTAGAAAAATTAGGAATTACACTGTCATGAGAGCCATATGAAAAAATAATTTCTAGAAAGGCCTGATCAATAGTGTCAATTATCAGAGAAAGGTTAATTAATATGAACTTTATAGGCTGAGCAGACTTGGCAAAAGATCAGTGTGATCTTTCCTAGAGCTTTATGGAGTGATTTGGTGGAAATCTGAATAAGAAAGAAAGGTAGAGATTGCTACTAGAACTTGATAAATGTACACAGTAGATTCAGTAGCTGAGTTAACCCAATAATTTGCTGATTTTCTCAAAATCATGAAAAAAGTATAGGCTGAAGACATCACTGCCTCAAAATACAGAAAGAAAGAAAATGGGTTTAAATATCTTTGATTTAAAAGGTATTTATGGTTGTCTTTGAAAGCACAGTTTGCATAATTTGGTGCTTTTTTCCATTTTTAAGATCTCTTCTGGGTAATTAAAAATAGTATACTCAGTTTAGGAAAGGTGAATTTTTTTTTTTTTTTTTTTTTTTTTTTTTTTTTGGTGGGACCCTTGCAGGCGGCTGGGGAATGAACAGGCACTGCAGAGGCTGCAGGAAGCCTCTCAACCCAGCGCTCAACCGCTGCACCACCAGGGGAGGCCTAGAAAGGTGAATTTTTAACATTCAAAGTTTTAGGAACATTATAGTCTATCTTAAAAGGGTTAGGGGAAGTATTCCTCAAAATCATGTGTGTACACATTAGCAGCAATGTGTAGGTATGTACACATGAGGGGTAGCTGGAGCTCGCTCAGAGCATCTCTTCCCAACTCAGCACTGAGTGGCTTCAATTTGGTGGTCAGATTAGTTATGACTGCAATTTCAGTTTTTGATTTTTTTTTAAATAGACCTGATTAAGAACCATTTACTAGTATGTGTGGATATAACAGAATCATCGTCAAAAGGTTTTTTCAAAATATAAATATTAACTATCTAGTTTCCAGCCCCTCAACAACTATATCAGAGTCTCTAGAGTAGGCATTGTCATCTTAAAAAAAAACAAAAAACCCAAAAACCTGCTTCCTTCTTTCTCTAATAAGAAAACCACTATTTTGGATAGGAAGGCAGGTAAGTAGATTTAAAATTTAATTTCAATAAAACAAGGTTCTGAATATGTTGTTCAAGAATAACTACAAAACGGTCATAAGTATATAAAAGCAGAAACACATAGTTTTTGTTATGTGTAATATACATACCTTTCTAACATGTCTCTAGTTTCATTGAGCAGTTTAATAGTAGTAATATCTCTAGGAGAAAGCCCACAGGCCTGTAAAATTAAAATGCCATATTTCAGGGTTTCAAATATTAGCAAGAGATCAGGAAATTTAGTCTGTTCTAGCAACAGTCAAAAAAAGGTCAAACTCACAAAGAACCTGTAAAGGCTCATTTGTGTAGGTAAATATATTTTAAACATGAGCAAAGTACAATTATACTTTGTAAGGTCTTTATTTACCTCCTACTCTTGGGACTCATTTCTCATCACTGATTTACCTCAAAAATCAAATGTGATTAAAATGTAATTTATTTGTCTGCAAATGAAGGTTCAGATTCCATCTTGGCATACAAAGCTCTTTATGATCTTGCATCAACCCTCAGCTCTACTTTCTATTACATGATCTCTTGCAAATACGCTCAGGCCAAGTGAACTCCTGAATTCATCTCCTGAGCTTTCCAAGTGTGCTGAACATGTCGTACTCCTACTATATCCCAGGCATACATTGTAGTATTACATAACTAAGACTCAAAAAAATTTGCTGATTATCTAAAATTATAAATGTTTTGCAGTAGAAATCATCTATATTTACAGTTGTGTTTCTAAATTAATGAGGCTTTTTTAAAATTACTGGAAATATATGCTTTCATTCACTTACCTTTTCAAGAGATTCAGAAATCTAAATTTTAAGAGATAGTACAAAAGAAATTTAAAAACAGAGTAACTGGTTTGGTTAAATGGTTATGTAATTAATCACCTGAGCTGCTAATGGGGTTTCTTCATCTGGCATCATATAATGGCATAACAAAGATTTGGATTCATCTTTATTAACCCAAGAAGAAGACTGATGCTGCTCCACAAGGTTTCTTATTTCTTTTAGTTTTTGCTCCAGGTCCAAAAGGGATAAAGAGTATTTAAGAGAAACACTAGAAGCAGAGAAGGGTAAACTGGGATAAATCGAAACTATACAACATATCCTATACACACTCTTATCAGATTACCATCTGAGATCCTGTTTCATCTAGTCAAACCTGAAACTGCTACCTGTGAAATCACTAGCATAGATTAAGAAATCAGCTACCAGTTAGGGCCCTTATTATAAAGTGAAGAAAAATCTTGTAGCAGATTTCACAAGAAATTCCCACTGCAATTATATCACTAGCATAAACAGGAGATAAGAACTTTAGAGGCAGATGTAGGCTTTTTATATGATTATCCAAATATTTCTGGTTTGTATAGCAATCAATCAATAAACAGTGAAATATTAAAACTTTTCCTTTAGTATCAAGTGGTTGATACTGAAGAAGAAAGTGGATTCCACAAAGCAATACTACCCTCCCGACCTACCCTCCCACCCAAAAGGCTTTGTAAAGTGTATCAAGTCACAAAGAATTTTACAGACCTCCATTAGTCAAGTCACTAGTTTCAGTAGAATACTTCTTACTTTCTTTCATTTATCAGAATCAGGAAGTAAAAAAGCAGCCAAAGCAAAATGCCCTACCTTCCTAAAATCTTCTGCACAGCTTGTTTAATGACGGTGATTAGTTCTGTGAGACCTGTGAAAAGAAAAACAAACATAAAAGCTTGTTCACTGTTCGAATTCCCCAATAATATAAATGAATGAATGAAAATTAGTCTACAGGTCAGAAATAAGAATCTTACCATCTCCAAGGAGGTGTTGAATACTTGATAAATATTGCTGTTGGACATCTGGGGGAGCAAGAGTTGTCTGTACAAAATAGAAAAAAGGTAAAATTATTCAATATTAGTAGTAAATTAATAGTATTTTCAGTATAACATGAGCTGAGATTTTTCAGGACCTGGAGTGACAGGTAAAATAATATTCTTTAATATAACAAAAGGCCTAGTTTCAAACCATGAAAAATAAAATGCTAAGAGGTTCTAGTCACATGAAATACAAAGATACTGATTTCATAGATATCATCTCAATAAATCATATTTAATTTCAAGCCTCTTGAAAGAAAAGGCAATACCTATTTAAGCCTATTAAAACTTACGGTGCCATTTTTGCCAACTGCTGCATTATCCAGGTAAATATAGCCACCAATTATGTTTAACTGGACTCGCAAAAGAACAACCAGCATACAAGTACTATATACAGCTACGATACTTCTTGTGAAACCTTCACAGAGAAAAAGAAAGCCATTTGGTATTATTAAAACAGAAACAAGAGTGTAAAATCATGAATCATCCCTATGATTTTTCATATGATGACTTTAAAGGTACAATTATAACTATTTTCAATACAAAAACATATCAATTCAAACTATTTTACATTTTAGCTCCTTAAAACTTGTTTGATGTAAATTAGCTATGAACTCTTTATTGAAACAATAACCAATATATTGAGTGAAATGTTTTATATTATCAGCTTAGAAAGCAAAACAGGAGAGTACTGGGAAGAGTGGTAGTCTCAGAACTCGGAGATGTCCAGGAAGCAGCTCAAGATAAGAGAAGAGGGCTGGGGATGGACAAATTTAGTTTCAAGGACAGATAAAGAAGGATAAGTCCATTAAAGGGCTGGAAGAAGGTATAAAAAGATAGAATAATACCTATCAGAGTGGAGGTGTTTACTATTGATGGGAGGTTTAGTAGGAACAGAATGTCCAGTGGATTTAGCAATCCAGAAGTTATTAATGCTTGTGAGAGACACAGGAATGAAGTGGAGACACAGGAATGAAGCCAGTCTGTAGTGTGTAAAAGAACGTGTGGGAGTGAGTAAGAGAAGAAAGGAATGTAGAAATCTCTGGTACTAAATATAAGGGGCGTGAGAAAGTACAATAGCTGAAAGGAAATACAGAGTACTAGAAAAGTTTCATTTATTTTAGATAGGCAAAGCTTAAGCATGATTCAGCTGATAAGGATTAATTGAAAGAACAGGAAAACAGGACAACTGATAATATGAAATTCTGAGATGTATATCTATATCTATCCATCCATCCATCCACCCATCCATTCACCTCTTTATACATAGCCCAGGACAGCTCTTTGTTTCAAATTTTTATGTCTAATCAAAGTTTGCATATAATATCAAAGTACAGTTACTATCTGGGTTGGAGTGAAAACTGTCTTTAACGCATATTACAGATACCAGTAACTAATAAAGACATATGAAGTTACAAGTAATCATAATAATACTACCACCATGACCTCCAATTACTAAGTGCTTTCTATAACCAGACATTGATCTACTTGCTTTTTGAGAATGATTTAATCCTAATGACACTATGAGGTGGATAAAGAAGAGTGATCTACATAATGGAGTACAAACATTTCTTCATAAATATTTAAGAATGTGCTGTTAACAGACTATGTAGGCTTACTTATTATCTTCAGATCTTCCCATATCTCTAGTTTGTTTGAAGGCCTAAAGAAAAGAATATCAGAAAATATACAAATAATAACTAGGTAATCAAATAGAAAACTTTGAATTTATAGCTCTATATTTAGTAATAGATTACAGCAAAAAACAAAGGTCACAAAATAAAGTAAAAAACAAAATCATAATTTCATTAATTAATGATTACAATCATCTCCACTAGTATATCTGTATAAATCTTTGCAGTCTTCTTCTCCCTCTGGGCACATGCACATATGTATTATAAAATCACTAGGAAAAGAAGGAAAAATATTTAGTTCTTCCTCATATTTACTGTTTTCCAAATAAGGCAGGTTGTATAATGCTTCTAAGATAAATTAGGAAATATTTTTTGTTTTCAAGTATGATTATAAATCCCTGAGTTGAAATATACATTTGCTGTGTTTCAACCAGCCATGGTTATTATTCTTATCGATGTTCAAATTGCTCATCTTTGACCACTGGGGGACTATAGAGGTTGGCTCCTGGGTTCTTTTGACATGTCTATTAGTCTTTAATAGTTTCCTTACTTTCTGACAAACAAAAAAGCTGTCCGGTTTCATCTTGGTCAATTCCTTTTTTTTTTTTTTAAATTTATTTATTTATGCATACAAGAACTGGGGTACAGTCCAGATATGTGGTGGGTGAGAGGATTCACCAGAGACAGAGTGGGGAACAGAACAGGCTAATATAGACTGAAATATACTGCTGAGGGGAGCAGCGGGCGAGTCAGGAGAGGTCTGCTGCACCATGTGGGTTGCTCCCTGGCAGGTGGGGGGAATCGAACTCATGCTGTAGTGGCTGCGGAAAGCTTCACAGGTTGCGTCTTAACCCCTTGTGCCTCCAGGGAGACCCTCATCTTGTTCAATTCTTGCTGCAGAAGTTAATTACCCATTTCTTAAAGAGTCCTGGTTCTTTTAGTGGGCGGAAGGAGGAACCCTAAACTTTGTACACTCCAAATGGGTTCTACTACCTACCTATGTGAAAGAACCTTTTTTTGTTTGTTTTCTTTCTTATTTTCAATCTGTCACTTGTAAAATAGACTGAAAATTACTAGAAAAATCAAATTAAAAAACACGAAGAAATTACAAGCCCATCGTCTTTATTATCAAACTCAGATATAAATCTGTATTTCAATAAGAAGTTGAATTACCATTACAATTGTACAGTATGACTAGTTTTATCTTTCTTTGCTCCTGAACAGACTACACAGCTTTAGTTATCCTTTCTTAGATGAAGCAGGTTCAGAAGATAAGTGGTTAAGGTATCACTGAAAACTTAAGCTAAGGCTCAAGTTTCAGTGGAATGCCATATTTATTGATTAAATTAGGAATCAATTACAATTTAACAGTTAGATATTTTAATGCAAGTAAACCACATTTTCTGAATGCAACCTCAGAAAAATTCCAAAATCATTCTTATAGAAATTCTAAATTAAGAAAGATAAAAATATTATTGGTCACAAAAATTTCAATATAGGAAGGGCTTGGCAGTAGCAATCTATGGAAGGGTAAGTTACGGTACTTTTGTTGAAACTGCATTTTATTTGGGGTTACTTTGTTCGGTGGTGACAGTGTTAAAGTCATCCAAGACATTTCTTCATGTTAATGTTCTCCATTATTAGGCCTTAAAGGTAGATTTCAACTTAAGTTCTAATATACAGCATGGTGAGTACAGTTACTAATAATACATTTTATACTTCAAATTTCTGAAGAGATATTAAGTGTTCTTTATATATTAAATGTTTCAACTACAATGGCTGCAACTGCATTGGACATGTACAGATTTTTGGGTCATTATTCCCTAAATAATATAGCCCCATCAACTATGTACATAGAGTTCATATTATATTCAGTAGTATAAGGGAGGATGTGTGGAGATTATATGCAAATACAACATCATTTATACAAGAGTCTGAGCATACTCAGATTTTGCTATGGCCAGGGACCTTGTAATCAATCCCTCGAGATATGGATGGATGGATACTGCACTAAGAAAACAAAATTACACCTTTTTTTAAAAGCTGCCCAGGATTACCCATCAAATTAATCCCTTTCTTCTCCTGCCTCCCATATTTTCTCACCACATTTTGCTTTTGCTTTTTACCATAGACTAAACATAATATGTGTTTATAATTTATTTAATCTGCTTCCTCCTTTATATGGTAAGGTCTAAATTATCTTAATTACTTTGATTTCCCCAAAGCACAGGGAACATTGGGCATTCCTGGAAACATGTTTATTGTATTTGTTATTATATTGCTTTTATAAACATGCTGTTCTCTTATCTCATTTGTCATGCTTCCCCAATAAGCCTAAAATGCAAGGTAATTAAATCTACTTATTTTCTATCCCCTACTTATGGACATACAGGTGGTAATTCTGTATTTGAGAGGAATCTACTCATATATTTATTCTTCACATTATTATAAGAAGGAATACTTAACTTAAATTTTGTATCTGTAAATAACAGTAAAAGTGTAGCAACTTTTAAGAATGATTAAATTTAGGGGAATAAAGCCTTATCACAAGCATTATACTTTAATTAGATTTTAAAAAAATCTCAAGTATACATATCCATTATTATTTTGGGATGTAATCTTTGAATAAAGAATATGTTTTTAAAGAAAATTTCCAGTTTGTTACTTAACCTGTCTGAGCACTACTGTCCTGATGTCTTACTTGCATAATGGAGATGATAATATCTAGCTCACGATTGACACTATGAGAACTGGGAATATATATATGAAAGGTACTTAGCATTTGTCCCAGCAGAGACACACTCTAGAAATAACACTTCCTTCACTCTGGTTATTGGAAGGTGACTACAAGGAAAACAAGTGGTTTAGTAAAGAAAATAATTAGAATTTATTTAGTGAATGCACCCTTTTCCCCATCCTGTTAAGTATAATGGGAAGCCATTTCCTTCTGAAGTCTTTCCAAAAACTAAAATTAAAATTAAAACATACTAAGTAACAATACCCCAATCCACGCTACACTCCATATACAAGGTCTTATGTGTGAAAGTGCTGTGTACACAGTAAACTATCAAGGTAAGTAGATTATCATTTCAGAATGGTCATGTTAGATTTCTATTTCATTTTGTTAATATAAAATGCAAGTTCATATGCCTTATTTATTTGAAATGTATGTTCATGGGCTTTATTTACTATATTGTAAACTCTTCAAGAAGCATAGTTAACATAACTTTGTCAGCTTTACAACATCTGATTTATAAACACATTCCACAAGCGCTCAAGAACTATATTTCTTAGTACCATCAAAGCAATATAAGATCTATTTATATGAAAGCCAGAATACATACAAATATTACCTTAGATTCTTTGTGCATAAGATAGAACATTAAAAAATGTATAAAATAAAACATGAATTGAGTGATATAGCTGGTAAATATTTTTTCTATATGAGCCTATATAAGATATAATTAGAAAGAAAATAAGGAAATAAAGTGCATTCCATAAACTTTCAGTGTAGTGTGTAAATAAAAATGTTGTAACTTGTATTTACCTGTTTTTTAGCAGGGCTGTGAGGCTTTCAGAATTGAGTTGCTGCATTAGGGCCTCTCTGAGTGTTGGAAGCATGGAGAGCACTATGAAATAAAGAAAATAAAAAGGTTATGAGCTGACTTGACATCCCTCACTTAGAAATGCCATTGTTTTAGAATTGGTTACAGGACTAGCATCTTGCAGGGGTGGGAGGGAAGTTCACAGTGAGCGTTTTCATGTTACTACTATTAATAATAATAATAAACAATTATATACTAATACATCCTTTATCTGTTTATGTTAAGTCAACAAAAATTATACATATACTATGATCATGCCAATATAACAATTACACAAGTCTACTTCCTTCCTGGCTAGTTGAAGACAGCATTCAGGTCTTTCTTTAGCTGTCTGGGGTCCATGATAAACTTCCCCACAAATCACAGGATGACACCTTCACCAGCCTTGAATCTGTGAATCTGGCAAGTCTCTGTGCCTCAGTTTACTCATGTAAACTGAGGACAACACAGAGTTTACCTTATAGGATTGTTGTTAAGGTTTGAGACATACATTAGAACACTGTTTCTTTGTACATGGAAATGTTCAGGAAGCATTAGCTCTTAGTATTATCATTATTACCCTTTCACATTCCCGTTTGTAAGTAAACATGTCAGAAAGCTGATTTGGGAAGCTTTTCAGTGAACTTGTATTTTGGCTCCTTGTGATCACCATATTTTATATTTAATTGCCAGAAATAGCTACTTATTTACCTAGGGTTGTGCCACTCATGTCTTTATCTGGGAAGAGATCAACCAAGTGACAGCTCAGCTGCCTCTCCCCATGATTGGAGAGATTGCACTGATCTTGGCAGTGACAGTACTCAGTGGGGATGCTGAAGCAGGCCCATTCCTGTGGTATTCCTCTACCAGGCAACTTTGGTATGAGGGCTGCCCACTGACTACCAAACTTTTAAAACTATGTTGTAGACTCAACCAAGAAATGTGTTGAGACTCCTCCTACCTAGTCTTCCTTCTTCCTTTTCATTCAAGTCAGAGCTGCTCTGTGGCCCAAAAGCTTTTTGTGCCCACTTATGCTCCCTCCATTTTATTCTTCATAGGTCCCCCAACCCTCCTTAAGGTTTGTGCACCTCTAATGCTCTCTGAGCATTTGCTTTGCAGAGGACCCAAATGACACAATGGCTTATGTCAAACTGAGATAAATTTTGAAATCCCACGAGCTACCTTTCTGTTTTCTGGAAATCCAAATAATAATCCTAAAAATGGGCTACTTTTAGTCTCAAAAAATTCATGATCATGTCCTCATAGCACCATTACACTGATACTAAATACCAATTTAAATAATTACATAATTTCTGAGAAGTCACTATTGACTGATTGTTATGCATTTTATATCTACCATTTTATCAAATGTATTTTATATCTACCATTTTATCAAATTTTCATGAAACATTTGCAAATTGGGTTTATGACATTCATTTTATGGAGGAGGAAAAATGAAATTTAGATTTTCTTAAAGATGTACAGATAATACATGAGGTAAAACTGGGAATTGAACCAGACCCTCCTCATCCTTGAGCCTGTGATCTTATTCACTGTCTTATCCCAGCTGTCATTTTATGCAGCTATTTATGATTACTTATTTGCTTTATCGAATGAAGGTAGCTTTCCAAGTATTATTCTTTCCCATGTTAAAAACCATACTCCAAATGTAACTCTGCATGTGTTTTCTTAACCTTAATGTCAACTTTTTTATTTGTTAAATGGGTTGAACTAAAAATAAATTCCTTTCAACTGAAGAAAATTCTACATTTAAAACTGGACAAAGAGAACCTACTTTTATAAATTCTTTCTAAATTAATTGTTATTGAAAGGAATGTTAGATAAAGGATTAAGGTTTAAACAGTAAAAAAAGGAAAACAGGTTTCACATAGATTTGAGAACTAATTCTTCAAGGAATTATGCCAATTACAACATAACACCTTATTCCCTTCAAATAGGGGACCCTGTTAGCAGCTTGCTAGCTCTGGAGGCTAAATGATCACCAAGAGTTAACATCAACTGAGTGTATATTATTGTGTTAAACTTACAGATATGTAGTTGCCTACTATATATTTAACAAACTTAAGGCTCTTTATGACTTCAAGGGATAATCCCACTTCTAGTGGGATTAGGTCTGACCCAGCAACTTTACTTCCTATTATTCTTCTGTTGTTCATTTTGCTCTAGTTACACACATAACCTTTTGGCTACTTCCTGAAGGTGACAAATTCATTCTGCCCCAGGCATTTTTCATAGCAGCCTCCTCCACTGTTGAATCTCCTCCCGTGTGACCTCTTCAAAGAGGCCTGGCGTCTTAAAGAGCATCACCACCCTTCACACAGTTTTACTCTTATGGCAAGTAGTCACTGCTGAAAGTTATTTGACTTGTCATTTACCATCTTTTTCTCTTACTAACATATAAATTCTAAGAGTCAGGGTTTTTAATTGGTCACCTTTTGTTTTCTTAGTGCTGGGTACCTCAAGTATTTGCAGAATATATAAATAAAATGAACAAATAAGTATTTATATTGTATATTGATGTGTAGGATATTTAAAATTCACTTTAAATAAGGTATTTCAGTTAAATCATATCAATATTTGCTGGATTTATCTTTCTTTGCCTTCACCTCTCAATTTTGGTTCTGGAGTTATGCAAATTAATACAAACCATCAAATAACTTCATATACATAAAATAATAATTTTAACAACAAATAATTTAAATATTTTAATAATTATTTTAATAATAATCATTATTTATAAATAAATATTTCTGTTTGCATTACCTGTCATATTGCAAGTCCTTTGATTACTTTCAAAATGATATTGTCGTCGTGCTTGGGCAATGTATTCTGCTGCCTCTCTTTCCTGAATTTCTCTGATTTTCTTCTGTCCATATTTTCCCAGGATATATACGCCTAAAATCATTTTAAAAAACAAGCTAGTATATTAATCCAATTAATTATATATTAACATTCCAAGTAATGATTTTAATCTACTTTATCTGAATATAAGGGTAATATCAATGAAAAACTAAAAATTAAAACATTTAAAAACCTAAATTGAGAATTGCATAAGAGCTGTCACATAAAAAATATAAGGTGATAAAAATTGTGAACTAAAGAGAAGGAAAAGGAGACTGACATTTTAACAGCAATGACAGATAGGCACGTAAGGAGTAGATTTGAAGAATTAGAAGGCATCACAATGCCTTCCATAGTGAATTGGAGATATTCTAAATGTCCAATAGGGAACTGTTTAAGGAAATGATGGTCCAGCCATACAATGGAATCTTAGGTGTTGCAAATCATATTGCTAAATAGTTAACGACGAAAGGAAATCCCAACCTTATATTGTTAGATAAGAAAATAAGATCCCAGAAGTTTTGCTTTCCAATTTAGATACACAGAAAAAACAGGATTTTAATTTCTAACATATAATAAATAGTGATCATAGTGGAATAGCAGGCTTATTTTTTCTTGTTTGCTTTTCATATTTTCAGCTTTCAATAAACATAAAAAACCTAAAAAATATGTAAGATAAATTTTTTAAAAAGAATGAAAGAAAGGAAGGTAGTCAGGCAGACATCTGAAACTATAATTAAAGTGGAAGTGGGGGGGATGCAGGCACAGAAGTTTCCTAAATTATAACACTGTAGAAATATAGATGAGGTAATGTGGCCTGTGATTTACTTTCAGCATAGACAGGACAATATAAATGTGCATATTTTGGTCTATACCAGGTAAACACTTCAGAAGCATTAGTTAAGTTGGCTTTAGAGCAAAAGCCACACTCCAAGCACTTCAACTCACTTTTTCTAGCATCATGAATATCAAAAATGGATTTTCACAGGTGATGTTAATGGTGTTTAAGATAATTAATATTTTAGTAATGTTCACATGAACAGGTCTATATGAACATTGCAATTCCTTTATGTTCCAGAATGGCTCAACTTTGGATTCTCAGCTAGTAGGTCAGAGGATTCTTAGTCAAGGAAGTTACCCAAGGGAGTCAGCCAGCAGAATCCTACAGCTAGTTTACTGCTACATTTGCTTCCAATAAATCTTTATGATTGGCTTTGTTGTATCACAAAAAGAGGACAGAACACTGGAACTTCAATGAGCTTATCAAACAGATTATCACACTATTTTAACTATGCTTGCTAACAGCTATTTTTATGTGTTGCAGAGTATATTTTATTATAACTTGACAACAAGTTTGTAGGGGAATAACTAATCATCACCAACCTCCAACCACCTCACAGCCAAAAAGAACCTAAGAATGATTAGATTTGTATTACCTAAATGATTAGAGTTGGCTTTTTACAAGGGGGAATGGGTAGCCTTTTAGAACCTGCAAACACATCCTGAATTATTTTAATCAACACAGGCACTGTAGATGAAGTGATGGCATATTAAATACTCTTAAAAATAATAGCTCAGTAAAAGGTCATGCACTACAAATAATTACATAGAAATAAAGTATAATTATTGTTGCTATGTTTGTATGCAAATAAATGCATTATACTCACATTTAAAGAACAAATAAAAGTTCATACAAGTGGTTTCATAGCTACTTTTTTTGTTAATACATCCTCAATAACTGATAATGCCACAATATCAATCGGATAAAGAAACTGACTTTTACGAAGTAACCCATGGACAGGCCCCACTAACATAGCAACTTTTAAAATGAATAGCTGGTATTTTATTTGCACAACAGATTCTAAAACTTCTGTGTAAAATGATTATTCTTTCTCAAATTATATGGTAAAATGAAACATGACATAATGCTTTTTGAGAGCTGGGAATTTTCTCTGTAACTGCACATTTAATTTATGTATTTGTATATGTATTTTCCTGGGGAGAAGGTTCACTACTTTCATGAATTTTTTTAATTATAAATTTTATTTTTATATTCCCCATACAATTGCAACCCCCTTATTTTGACCCCAATCCCTCCCCTCCCTGCCCCCCACCCCCCATAGAGTGTCTCTGGTTCATAGTTTTTTGGTGATTTTGATTTTTACTTTCTTATAGTTATTCTTTTTCCTGGTCCCTTATTTAAATTTTCTAGATTCCTGCTATGAGTGAGACCATCCGGTATTTTTCTTTTTCTTTCTGGCTTATTTCGCTGAGCATACTTTCATGAAATTCTTAATAGTGTCTTAAAATTTTTTAAGGAACTACTATGTATGTCTGATAAATGTAGTATGTTCTAACTAAAGCTAAAAAAAGGAAAATTGTTCAACTGTGTCCCACCCACCCTCTTATTCCAATTTCCCCTGCAAATTACACATGTTGAAGTCCTAGTACCTCAGAATGTGACCTTATTTCAAAGACAAGATTTTTACAGAGATAATCCAATTAAAAAGAGGTCCTTAGGGAACTGTCATTCGTTTCCTTCTAAGAAGAGGAAATTTAGACACAGACAGGTATACTGGGAAGATTGTAGCAACAAAGGAGGAGGTGGCCATCTGCAAGCTAAGAAGAAAGATCTGGAACAGATCCTTGTTTACAGCCCTCAGAAGAAACAAGTGAATTCTGCCAACATCATGATTTTGGATGTCAGGCTTCCATAAATGTGAGGTCATAAATTTCTGTTCTTAAGCATTCAGTTTGTGGTAATTTGTTATGGCAGCCCTAGCAAACCAATACATGAAATTAAGGCTAAAATTCACAACCCACGGCTTTTTTTTTTTTTTTTGCGTTAGCTCTTAAATAAATTCCTACAGAAGGTCTAATTTACCCAGGCTCTCATTCCAAAATTCATAAGTTGTAATTGAGTCAGATTTTCTCCCTAGGAAAATAAGAATGAGGGTAGAGAATTCATTTAAAATATGGAGCTCAAAAATCATCTTGAGTTGATTGAATTCTACTCTGAAAGACAGGAGATACATTGATGGTTACAGCACCAACTACTTTGGCAACTTTGAGCAACTTACTTTTCTCTGGACCCAAATTTAATTACTTAGAAAATGAAAAATTGGGTTTATAAGAGCTTTAAAATTTCTTCTGTAGCTATGACTTTATGAATGATGAAATCATTATCTAAACACAAGAAAGAAATGTAAAATGTTTTAATGTTTCCTTACTGTGCTCTGCTGGTAAAGCAAAATATCCTCTAGTTTTTCCATATTATTAAATTTGAATCCTTGCAACACAACTGTTTTACTAAGTTAATAATTTCAATAAGAGTTTGAAAATAATCTAGTAAGATCTCTCCCAATCAAATATATAACCATCTCCCATTTGGATTATAGTTTAGAAATATCTTCTAAATTTTTTCCACTTTACTCCACACCCTTTACTCTTGTCTTCATTTAGATCTAGAACATTAAAGCTCTGGAACTGGTTTAACAGCTTTCCAACTCTCTTACACTTCTGGTCTCACAACCTTCTAATCCATCTTTTATATGCGAAGTAATTTTCTAAAACATCAATCAGACTGCCTCATTTCTGTGTTTAGAATTCTTTCATATTCTGCCATTATTTCTTAACCTGGATTCCCTGCTCCACTTATATCAGAATTACTTGGGAGTACTTGTTTAAATGTAGCTATTAAGAATTTCCTTGAAAACATACCCAAATGTTTTCCTTGAAAACATCCCCCAGTGTCTTATATGACACTGCATCCCAATACATAATATTGGTACAGAGTAGGAATTTTTTTTTAAGATTGATTTATTTATACAAGCACTGGGTACAGTCAGAAGCGTGGGAGGGTGAGAGAATTCACCAGAGTCAGAGCGGAGAGCAGAGTAGGCAGATTGATGAAGTACACTGCTGAGGGGAGCAGCGGGCGGCAGGAGAGGTCTGCGCACCATGTGGGACCCTCACCCGGTGGCCGGGGATCCAACTGGCGCTGCAGAGGCTGGGGGCAGCTTCGCAAGCCAGCTGCGCCACCAGGTAGGCCCCAGAGTAGGAATTTAATAAACATTTAATGATGAACTGATGAATTGTAATCTGGACCTAAAGACTCAGTCTGATTAAAAGAATTCTGTATTTTAACCAAGTTCCTTGCATTATTTTTATCCATACTAAAGTCTGAGAAGCACTGATATATAGGATAACGTAAAATAACAAGGAATACCCTTCACAATTTGAGCTCTAGGTATTTATCCAAATTCATCATTTACCAACTCACATTTGTTCCCTGATTCATCAAAAGCAATGTCTCTAAACCTGTTGAACAGTCCCTTTCCCTGCTGTGCTTTCTCCTTTGCTAGCTTTACAACTTAGCTCAAGTGAATGTTCCTCCTCTAAGAAGCTTGCAACTTCACCTCTCTCTACTCTGCTCCCACATCACACTGCTCTATTATGGTACTATAATACTACTAATGTGCTACTCTTTTATTAAAAAATATTTATTTATTTATGCATAGAAGAGCTGGGGTGCAGGCCAGAGATATGGGTTTGTGTGTGTGTGAAAGGATTCACCAGAGACAGAATGGGGCACTGCTGAGGGGAGTAGCGGGAGAGACAGAAGAGGTTAGCTGCGCCATGTGGGCCACCTCCCTGGCAGGGGATCGAACTCCTGCTGCAGTGGCTGCTGACAGCCCCATAGTGCTGCTTCTTAAGCCCTTGTGCCACCAGGGAGGCCCCAATGTGCTACTTTTATTAATTTCTATTTCATTTTTTTCAGACTGCTGTATGAGTTTCCCAAAGCCAGGAGCTGTGTCTTATTCCTCTGTATTCCTAGAGTCCAATATAGTAAGAATAGGCCCTTACTCTCATTCAGATATTTGTTGAATGAGAAAGTGAATAGATGACAATCTGAAGAGACCAGAAATTACAGGGGTAAGATATAAATGATAATTCCATGCTCTGGGCTTTTAAGAAGCCCAGGAAACAAGGTAGCAACTATGAATGTGATTGTTCTCTGCTCTGCAACACTTTTTCTAGCGTAGTATTTCTCAAAGTGTAGCTCAGGCACTTCTAGAGGTCTTCAAAACCCCTTTTTAGGGCATCTGTGAGACAAAACTATTTCCATAATACTACTAAACATCACTTGCCTTTTTCATTCTCACACTCTCCTGAGTGTAGAGTGGAGTATCATAGAGGCCACATGATGTGGTATCAAACGTGAGTGAAGGCAGAAAGAGATGGAAATCCAGTTTCCTTTAATTAAGCCACACAATAAAGAGATCTGCAAAAGTGTAAGAAAGCCACACTTCCCTCATTTTTTAAAAATGTTATTTATCTGTATAGGTTGTTATTTTAAAATTAATTAATAAATTAAAAATGTTCTTACTTTTAATCTCCAACAGGGTAGCTATTAATAGATACAAATTTTTAAAAGATCTTAATTCTTAATGTCCTTTATTTTTGAAAGTATAAAGGAAACCTCAGGCCTAAAAAAATTAAGAATCACTGCTTTTGCCTTTTTGTAAATTGGCCAAATTGCACAAATTGTTGTAAAGCAATTACTCATCCAAAATGCAAGAAATTGCTACTTAAGAAGATCTGTAACTCAAAGTTTGTACTTATGTTTTTCCCCCATCAGCGACTGGCCACACTTTTTTCAACATGCATGCTGATATATTCTTTAGCTCCCAAGCCTGTCAAATGTGCTACTTCATCCACGTTCTTCCTGATCTTTTGCAATTGCATGCGTTATCTTCCAGCTTAACCTGTAACATTTTTTCCAGCTCTTTAATTGTTTTGTAATATAATTATCTGTACACTTGCTGTTACGGGTTTATGTGTGTGTTCCCTCAAAATTCTATGTTGAAATCTTAATGCTAGATGTGATGATATCAGGAGGTGAGGTCTGTGACAGGTGTGTACATAAGGGTGGATTGTGAATGGGCTTAGTACTCTTATAAAAGGGACTGAAAGATCTTAAGCTTCTTCTACCATGTGAGGGTGTAACCAGAAGCCGACACCCCTGCCTCTACCCATATGATCTGACCATGTTGACACCCTGATCTTGGCTTCCAGCCTCTGTAACTGTGAGAAATAAATTTCTGTTGTTTCATAAGGGTTGCAGTGGTATAATGTGGAAAGAATGTGTGTCTAGGTCTAACTAACATACCTGGGTTTGAATTCTATCTGCTTCATTATTAACTCTGAGACCTTGGGTAAGTTTCTTTTATTTTCAGAGACCTACTACCCACATTTTTGAACAGGGATAAGAATAATTACCCAGTTATCATGTGCGCTTAACCGAAAGAACTTAGCCCAATGCACAGTACAGTGGGCACCCACTAAATGGTAGGTAGTATATTAAAATCTGTAAATCTTGTATCGCCAACCATATTATCTTCAATGCTATAGGCTCCAGATAAACATTTCTTATGTTAGAGTAACTAAAATGTAACATAAAGGATCTTCCTCTGAAAGAGAAAGAATATGAGGTTCAAACAAATGCCAATCATGGCCATCTACTCTTTTACCTTTTCTGTGTAAAGATTTTCTCTTTCAGTGCCTCTGAATTTCCCCCTATTTTGCATTCCTCTTAATCTGTAACTATAAAGCTCTTAATAGATTAAAAAAAATTTACAATTACCTCTAAGTATATTCCTTTAATTCCCCCTGTGATTATTTTTAACCTACCATTAGGCTGTGCCATAAGTCTGCAGGGCTATGCTATTCTTTTTGAGGTTGCTAAAGAGGTATTTTCCTTCCTTCAATAGCAGCAAAAATACTTTATATTAATTCTAATCACATGTATTTTAACATTTCTACAAATAAAATTGACTTGGTGGTCTTAGTAAACTTTAACTAATAGATATCAGTGGCTGAAGATATCAGTACTCAACGGCTGAGGCGATCAGAACACATTTTTTTTTTTTTTTAATTTTCTAGAGGCATGTCTTATTTATCTATTTGTTTGTTTGTTTGGTTTATACATGCACTGGGTACAGTCAGAAGCCGGGAGGGCGAGAGAATTCACCAGAGCCAGAGCAGGGAGCAGAGCAGGCAGAAGGACCGAAGTACACTGCTGAGGGGAGCAGCGGGCGGCAGGAGAGGTCTGCGCACCATGTGGGACCCTCCTCTGGTGGCCGGGGAGCAGCCGGGGATCGAACCAGTGCCGCAGAGGCCGCGGGCAGCTTCGCAACCCAGCGCTCAACCACTGCGCCACCTGGGAGGCCCAGAACACATTTTTTTAATCTATAAGGAACATCTCAAATAATTCAATAAAAATTTACAAACATGATCACCATTAATTTGTAATAGACCTCAGGGACCTGGAAAAGACTGTCCTTGCTTCATTAACAAGAAGGCTGTTTCAAACTTTCAGAAATCAACAAATCTGAATTGATGCTAAAGAGCATTTAAATTTCAAATTGTTGGAGGTGGTAGCAAGAGACAAGCAACCAAATGCTTTGGGAAACTTGTTTCATCTTTTAAGTACATCTGTAACCAAAAGTACGCAGTTACTAATAACAAAATTTCTCAAAAACTCAAGTTCTAAAAATTTCCTCTTCACATTCCCCCATTTCTTTCTTCTACAATTCACAGCCTGTTTCTTTTCCCACTGAAATCCCTGCGTACAGTGCTGTGACTGTCAAAAGAGGGGAAAGGTTCTCAAGATGGTTATCTGTTTCTAAATCTCCCAGCCCGGTGCAACTGAGTTGTGTCAGCTAGATGAACTTGAGGATTCTGAGGAAGATTGCACAACAGCCTGCAAGCACTTTCTTACAGCAGAACTGGCAGCACAGTTGGTCTTCTCAAGGAGCAGCAACAGAATTAAAGCACTGATTCGCGTTTGTTTATCTGGTGGTATGTCTTTCAGTCCTTCTGCACAACGGTGCTGGCTTGAAAAATTCCCATTTCCTTTAAAGAACACTGAAAGTGTAGGCACAGGGACTCTCCTAGAATATTAGGAAACTCCTGCGAAGGGTGACAGCCAGACTAGGGGCGGGAGAGCCAAACAGAAACGAAGAACCTAACAGAAAAACAACAGAGGTGCCTTACAAAACATGTGCCTAAGAAAATGGTGCCTGGAAACAGAAACGCAACTGTGGTGGGTCCTTCAAGGTGCGTGAGGAGAACAGGCAGGGTAAAGGGGCAGTGTCGGGGCCACGGGCACAGACACAACTGCAGAGACCTAAGGAAGACTGGGGGTGTCACCCTGCTCCCCAGTCTGAGGCGGAGCAAACCCCCTCGATGCTCCCGGACTGCGGGTGCCCGCCCCCGCCCCCTCCCCGGTGGGAGACAGTCACCTTTCTCCCTCCGCCTTCTCCCCTGCTCCTGTCCGGAAGCGCCGTCACCCACCTCCGAGGACCGTGCCCAGGAAGATGCACTTCTTTTTGTGACGTTTCAGAAAATTCCACATCGCTCGCAGCATCTTCCGACCCTGGAGGCGCGGGCTGCGTCGAGGCGGGAGGGCTGCTCACCGGGAAACCGTGTCTTCGTCACCCGGCCCGGCCGACCCGGCCGGGGCGCCGTCGTCCCGCGGGGCGCCCTCCAGGAGTCACGAACGCGACTTTCCGCGGAGACCGTCCCCGGGCGGGAAGGGGGCGTGGGCTCCGGCGGAGCAGCTGCGCTTTCTGCTGCGGCCGCCGCCGCCGCTCACTGGTCCCGGGCGCCTCGGTCCTTCCAGAACTCGCTCCCGCGTGCGCCGCGATTCCGCTCCCCCGGAAACAGGAGCCCGCGCCCGCCGCGTTCCGCTTCCGGCCGGCCGCGCCGCGGCCCGGGGGACTGCATGGAGGCGAAGGCGGAGTCCGCGCCCGAGGCCGGAGGTGTGGGTTCCGTGTCGGCGGAGGAGATCGAAAAGTGGATGGAGGAGGCTATGCGTATGGTGAGGAGCCCGGGCGGTGGAGGCCGGGGCTGGGACCTTCCTCCCGCCCTCATCCCTAGCTGAGCGTGTGCGCAAACGTCCCGGGGGTGCCTTCGCGACCCCCAATCCCGTGCGCGCCCAGGTGCGCGGGGCCGGCCGCTGGCTGCGCTGCCCTGGGATGCTCTGCAGCGCGTTCTCACAGTGGCTCGGGAGGGAGGAAGGAGACGTGCAGACAAGGCTTATGTTTCACAGGCATGGGGGGTGCCCAAACTTAACCCTCTTCGGGGCGCGCGGGCGCGTCCGAGCTGCGTCCCGGGCGCCCTGGACGCGCTCGCGAACCAGCCAAGTTGTGTGTTTTGTTTCCGATCCCTGAAATCTAGGGGAAGGTCGGCAGGAAGACATCAGGATGTTTCTGGTAGAGAGAAGCATAAAAACAAGTCACTGTACAGTTTCTGCCATTCAGCCACCCCCCCTCCTGCTCGCTGTCCTTTGATTTCCTCTATCCCGTCAGTATTTCTGGTTAAGGTCTCATCAGATTTGTGTGTAATCCGAGCGTTACTCACTTGTGTGTGCCCGCGAGCTCCCTGATAGGCATGAAGGTGTGTGCACGCGCGTGTATTTGCATATATACATATATGCCATTTGGCGCATGTATGTGTATATGCGCGTATACGAGTACAGACTCATGTATCTATGGTGTGTCCTACAATTTTATGTTTCTCTAATGCCTCTGTAAAATAAATATTCTCAAGCTTTTTTTTTTTTAAGATTTATGTATTTTTGCATACAAGAACTGGGGTACAGGCCAGAGGTGCAGGGGTGAGAGGATTCACCAGAGACAGAGTGGGGAGCAGAACAGGCAGACTGACTGAAATACACTGCTGAGGGGAGCAGCGGGCGAGGCAGGAGAGGTCTGCTGCACCATGTGGGTAGCTCCCTGGTCAGCTGGGGATCGAAATCGTGCTGCAGAGGCTGTGGCTTGTTTCATAGTGCGGTGCTTAACCCCTTGCGCCACCAGAGAAGTCCTCAAGGTTTTTTTTTTTAATATATCATATCCTTCCTTCCTTAGTGGTCTCCATTAATTAACTTAGTTAATTAAATTCCGGTCATTCTTTCATTTATTCATTGCACAAATGTTTATTGAGTACACTGTGCTTTGCTTTGGGAAATCAGCTCTCAAGCAGATTCCGTATATTTTTCTTCTCTGACCTCATTACTTCACCTGCATTCATTCATATTATAACCAAATATTTTCCTCTAAGCTATGATACATTAGGTCATCTATCCATTTGTTTTTGTTACTGACATAGTGTTCTTTCGCATTGATTCTCATAGCTTTTTGAAAGTGACTCAGTGCAAAAAAAATCTATTTTATGTTACAACCCAGTAACACATGCACAGTTATGATTGAAGCAAAAATCTCATGCAACAGTGCTAATTCTCCCTGTCTACTTTTCCTGGTATTTTATTTCATTTTGAAAAAAAAATGCTGGTCATGACTCACTAACTTGGTTTCATGATTTCTTCTTTTTTTTTTTTTAAAGATTTATTTATTTATGCATACAAGAACTGGGATACAGGCCAGAGGTGTGGGAGGTGAGAGGATTCACCGGAGACAGAGTGGAGAGCAGAACAGACAGATTGACTGAAACACACTGCTGAGAAAAGTTGTGGGTGAGGCAGGAGAGGTCTGCTACTCCGTGTGGGTCAGCTCTCTGGCCGGGGATTGAACTTGTGCTGCAGTAGCCGCGGATTGCTTCATAGTGCTGAGGCTTAACCCCTTGCACCACCAGGGAAGCCCTCATGACTTATTCTTAAAGCCCACTAAGATCTCTGTAACCTTGACCTTTTTTTTTTTTTTTTAATTGAAAAGGACAGGTTTATTAGGAAAAAGAGAAAGGAAAAAAGAGGCACCTTCATAGGCACAGGTGATCAGAGAACTGCTGCTCTGCCTTTAAAAGGGAAAAGTTTGTTAAAGAAGACACCTGCATGGACACAAGCCGAGAATCTTGGGACAGGAACTGCTAGCCTTGATGTTTTTGTCTCTTAATTGGATTATAGATAATTAAGTGTGATTATGTAGTTTATCTATCCCTACAGAGTTCTGGAGGCCCTTAGCTTATTTTGTTTGTTTTGGCTTTATACATGTTTCTTCCAGATCTTAAACAAAGAGAAAAATATGCTTGTCATAAATCTTGTGCTTTGTTGACCATTCCCTTGCACCTAAAGAAATTTCCCTTTGAAGAATTGTTGGAGTAATTGCAAATGTACTTGTACTTCTGAGAACAGATCAGAGCAGAAGCATAGCTAGAGGCAGATCTGGAGGTAGCAAGTTACTCTCTGATGTACACTGAAGAATTTGAAACTGAAATGATCATTGAGTATGTCATAGTAAGAATACTAGCATCCCCATAGCATTGTATAGAGTAGACGTATTTATGTTGCCAGTACAAATAACTGACTCTAATGTTACCAGGGAAGTGAACGATTTCTGGGTCTTACTTTCTTGATGTTTAAAAGAAAGGGATTACACTATAGAATTTCTATCCTAATCAGTGCTTTTACTATACAAACGTAAGGAGTTATTACTAAAGTTAATCAGGTTTTGTGAAAAATGAGCACAACTGTATTCACCTAATAGGTGCAATATTTTGGGAAGTCATCCTGGCATAATGTAATTAATTAGCAGCCACAATTAAAAAAAAAGCATTTGTATCATTTGACTTAGCAGTATGATGCCATGGTATTTATCTTAAGGAAATAGTTGAAAAAGATAAAGGTAATCATTGTCATTTCAGTTTTATGTGTGTCATGTATGGGTAAAAACCAGGAAAGATTCCAACCTTCTCATAAAGGGAAATAAATAATTAAATTGGAGTGTATCACTGTGTTGGATAATGTGCTGTTATTAAAATCATTATGGATATTGTTAGCATGTGACCCCAGACTAATAAGGAGTGTACGTTGTAAAAGGGTTCCAGCTCTCTGCTGCATAAATGCAAAGGAAGCAGACACTTAGTGTTAAAGATCTTTAATAGAATTGGTGTGCATTAAGAGAGAAGAGAAGAAAAATATTCCCATTAATAGTTTCCCAGTAAAACCCACTAAATTACCCATGTTCTCGTGGACAAATGCCCAGCCAAAGGGGGATGAGTCCAAAGCAAACATGCTGAGGCCTGAAAGCTTGCTTCCATGTAGCCATTATTTCCAAATGGAAAGCTTAGAAGTCTAAGATGCCTTTTAGCAGAGAACCACAAGAAAGGAGTTAAGCAGGCCCCAGAGAGTTAGGAAGGAAGGAGAGAGAGAAAATTCAAAATCATCATACAAATCAAGATAATGCTGCCATTGTTTCTGCCAAGGACAGCTTTCCCACATGCCTCTCACCGGTGAGTCTCTTGCAAGTGTCTCTGCCTGTCTCCTCCACTTACCTTTTTTTAAGTCTCTCCAAGCCTCTGTGTGCAAGCTGAAACAACAGGTGGGCCTGCCTGCCTCTGTGTTATATAGCTTCACCTGACTGTTCAGCTCTGCCCTGAGTTCCCAGTAGCTCTCCCACTCAGGAAGTCTAGTTTATGGCACAATGGGACTTGTATTCCAAGGTGGCTGTGTGCAAGTGGGGGGTGAGGAAAATAACACCTGTTCACTGCACAGCACCTCTCCTTTTATGGAGATTCATGATGTACAATATCAGGTACATATGTAATGTTAACTATCACAATTACATGTGATATTAAACAAGCAGAACACAAATTATTATATAAGTTTAGAGGTTAGAGAGGCTTGTGTTCAAACCTCAGAATAGCTGACATCAAATTAACCTTGACAAGTTCTTAACCTTTTGGCCTCAGTGTCATCTATAAAATGGGTATATAAAGGCTGTCTCACAGAGTTGTACAGATTATATAAATTAAGAGAGTTATTGCTTCATAAGCACCTACCATAATATGTTCAATACATAGATGTTGTCTTTGCTAAATTAATAAAGACTACAGGAGAATGATAAAAAATAATTAATTAATATGGTGAAGTTATGGGTTACTATAAAAAGATTTATCAAAGTATTTTGTAGTAATAGTGTAAAGAAGTAATTGAAGATATAGAATAAAGCCAGAAAATAAAACCAGAATAACCAGTAGTAAATAAATGATAGCATTTATTTGGAGTAGACCTGGAGAACTTGGAATGGAGAAAATAAAAAGTATATCATCGAAGGTAGAAAACATAAAAGAAAAACTGATTTGTTTTAATTACGGCAACATTAAAAACATCTACATGTTAAAACAACAACATATAAAATAAGAAATGTCAAAGAGGGAACATATTTGCAACATAAATAAAAGGATGTGTTAGATAGCTTTCATATATAAACAGACTTTACAAACTAATAAGATGTATACTCTAGTACTGAAAAAAATCAAAGAATATCTACATGTTTATAAAAGAGATACAAATAACTGGCAAGTAAGTGAACAACTGTATGATTTTACTGTTATAAATGAAATAAAAATGATATACAATTTTTCTTTTTTCTTAAAGATTTATTTATTTATTTATACCAGCACTGGGTACAGTCAGAAGTGCAGGAGGGTGAGGGAATTCACCAGAGCCAGAGCGGGGAGCAGAGCAGGCAGAAGGACCAAAATACACTGCTGAGGGGAGCAGCGGGCGGCAGGAGAGGTCTGCGCACCATGTGGGACCCTCCTCCGGTGGCTGGGGAGCAGCCGGGGATCGAACCAGCGCTGCAGAGGCTGCGGGCAGCTTCGCAACCCAGCACTCAACCGCTGCGCCACCTGGGAGGCCCCCAATTTTTCTTTTCTAAAAAATTTTATATATTTATTTTAAATATTTATACAAGAGCTGGGGTACAGGTCAGAGGCGCATGGGAGGGTGAGAGAATTCACCAGAGACAGAGCCGGGGGGCAGAACAGGCAGATGACCGAAAACACTGCTGAGGGGAGCAGCTGGTGAGACAGGAGAGGTCTGTCACGCCATGTGGGTTTCTCCCTGGCCGGTCAGGAACCAAA